TCGTCGTCCAACAGAAGTTTGGCCAAGATTTTGCTGACTTGATGGACCTGATACACCAAACTCGCCAACGAAGGTCTAATCCGTCTGCATCAATGTCAAATGCATCGCGATCCTCTTTATCATTCAGTGGACATGTCGACGTGAAGGGATTTCGACTTGGGCTTGAAGGTCGTTCCTCCACCTCCTATCTAGAATGCGAAGATGTTGGCGGAGACATATCCAGCAGCGATTTAGGTATTGCATGGCGAATCAGGCTGCGTGACTTGGCATTGTCGCTTGCGCCTAGAGCAGGCATTGTGTCACGAGAAACCACCTTCAGTCGAAACCATCGATCTGCGTTTCTCATCGTGGATCTTCGTGCTAGGGGAGATGTCCACAGATTGGAATTCCGCATCCCAAAGATCCATGCTGTGATGCAACCCAGTTCTATAGGAGAGATTGGTGATTTCTTAGACCATCAACAAGTACGACATCATCTTCGGCATTGTCCTTGTTGCTCAACGTTTTTCAGGCTGAATTGCTTATTCGGAGGGATCAGCGAGCTGCGGAGTTAGCAGCGTTCAAGGAAAAGACCCGCAGTATTTTGAAAACGTTTGATATGAGAACGAACGAGGCCACTCGCGACCAAAAGCCCCCTTGGTTTAGCGAACATACCATAGATGTAGTCATTCAGAAGATTGGAGTGGCCTTCCCCCTCAGTCTTGAACAAACGTTGGAGCTTCCCGGGACGAATTCCCGTAACGGTCCTTCAGTCAGGGCTTTCCTGTTCACTGTTCGACGCATCAAGTTTAGCGCTCAGAGAGGAGAAGCGGGCGAGATGTCAACGAAAGACTTATCCTTCCTATTTGTGCCCAGGTAAGACTTGATGGCGCTCCAGTGAGCTCATCACACTTAGTCCTGATCATGGCGCCGTAGTTTCAGGCAATGTTCGTCCGAAGACTTTGCAGCAGACAAGCATAGAAGCCGAAACCGACTGGTGTACCCCTACATGACTGCGCGGCTACGATCCGATACTTCTTTGCTCAGTCGTCATATCTGGTTTTTTGGAAACGTCAGTGGGTTCATTCTGGACTTGGACTCAAACATCCCTGATTACATATTCTCGCTCATTGATGTGTACCGTCAAGGAAGAGAACGAATGATCCGCATCGCTGCAAGCCTCCCCCGGGCTACTACATCGAATGCTGACCTTGGGAGGGACGATGTCTCACCGCGAGGCGGACAGCAAGATGTTCCGGCGTCGAGTATCTTTGCAAATATGGTCTTCCAGAGCGGAGAAGTGCACGTTCATAGCGATTCAAAAAGTACACAGGCCTCGCCTCCGGGTACTCACCAATTGTTGGATGGACAGCTGCGTCCAGAGCAGGAGACACTGAGGCTTCCTATAGTCTCTGCTTTGGTTGAATATCGTGCTTCAGGTATACGAGCCGGTCCAGCAGCCCTGATATTCAAAACCACTATTCATTCCAGCCAAAACACTTTGAGACCGAGTCTTCTGCCTTTCATGACCGAGATCATCGATCACATGCAGATGCGCTTGCGCAAGACTAGCCGAGGAAACACGCTACCCATTGCGCCATCTCCTACAGAAGACGAACCACCCCCGCTGCTGACCTCGAGCCGCCTGGAGAATTTATCCGAGGCATCATCGAGTTTGCAAATCACCTTCAGTCTCCGCATAGACAAGTCGACACTCGAATTAACTTGTCAGCCGGATGTCAATGTAGCAGCTGCTCTACGCTGGGAAAGTGGCGGTTTCCTTATGAACATCTCGCCGGGTGCTCACAAAGTGACATTGACGGGCACTGTGGGCGGTCTCACAATTGGCCTCAAGCACGGGTTTTTGAGCGACGACTGCGTCAATATTGCAGCTCGCAATCTCGCATTTTTCCTTGCTTTTTCCAAGAACGAGGACCATTCTGGAAATATCGACAGCATGATTTCCTTGGTGGTGGATACAGATATTACTGGTGGTGTGCGTTTCTCCCGCCTGCAAGACGTTTTATGTTTCAAGGCGGTTTGGCTCGATCGTATCCCTTTGTTCGTCGCAGAGCATGCAAACTCTGATAGATCACGTCCTCCGACAGCCTCTTCCTCCTCGGTCACCACTCCTGTTGTGAAACAAGAGGTCACTACTGCGCTCATAATTCGCATTCGCCAAATCCGCTTGGAGGTAGATTTAGGACAGTCCATTAGCAGTGTGACTCTGAATCTCCAGAGTACAATTACGCGAATGCGCTTATCTGAAATGTCAACTGAGGTATCGCTCTCAGTGGCAAACGTCTCCATCTTTGCTAGGGGAAACGTCGCGGGTCACATAAATGTACCGGACTGTGTCTTTCAGACGATCCGCAGGAACGAAGGCGCCTTGACCGATGATTCACGCACAGTTAGGATGCTCGAGCTCAGCATGACTAGTGGTCCTTTAAGTGCCGAGCTGGAGTCAGATCATCAACGGCTGTTGATTTACAGGTAATTATTATTATTATGTTCCGCCTTATCTTTGTCTGATCCTCGAGTATCTTCAGGGCTGATCCCGTGCAAGTGGATATCCACGATGATTGGTCACTTGTTTCCTCCGCAGACAGAGGACAAGACCGGCCTTTACTGCTTACATTCACGGTCAATGGCGAGGAAATCATTGCTCTTGCTACCATCGCAACTATACCGAAGTTGTTGATGTATACCAACAAATTCCAGGCCAATATTGCCGCGCAGCGTGAGGGCGCAAGTCATGAATCAGCCGCATTCCGTGCTACGCAATCGCCCAAGCCTGACAATCCACTCACCGAAGTCGCCTCGGCATTCTTTTATTCTGCTCGTAACCGGTTCAAGGAAGCAGACACGGAGCTGTCCCACAGAATTCGCCAGCAGTTGAGCTTTCGCTTACAGACTCTTCGGCTTGTCCTCTTCCCTCGTACCATGGGTGACACCGAGCTTGCGCAGTTCATTGGACGCGATGTTCATGCGAGCCTGGAGCGTGTGGTGATAGGCGAAAGCCCACCCCATAGGGAGATCCGTTTATCGTTCACGGCCTTGACTATTTCCAAGTTCAGCCAGCCTCACCCACTTCTCCCGTCAACTATAGTAGTGTCTGATGACAAAGCTTGGGTGGATCAATTGTTCAAGCATCCAACAGAAGCAAACATCGTTGGTCTGCCCACGATGAACATGCTAATGCTCACCGATGAGGTGGTCGAAGAACCCGCCAAGTACATCGACTACAAGTTCTATAGCTCATTCGTGCGAGGCAAGGGTACCAAGGAGCACGAGGACATCTACATCTCGCTCAACGTAGCGCTATATTCATGGCTCACTGGTCTTCGCAAGAATTTGACCAGGGAACTGGAACAAGTTCAGGGACCCCAAGACTCACGCAATGCGACAGCAGGTCCATCATCTCGTAAAAGAGCAGGGGCTACAGAATCAGCTCTGGGCATGGACGTTGCTCAGATGGATGCATCAAGTCCAAATAGCTCCACATCTAGCCCATTATTGCCCGAAAAAGCCCCGTCACTGGGTCTCAGATCGACTGTCGCAGTTTCGCCTCAGCTGCCCTCAGAACTCTTCGTACACCCGCCACTGCCAACTTCCCAAGCCCGTTCCTTACCAGATCTACTCGATCCTTCTGTACAGCTTCCACCCCCTATCGCCACGAAAACTGCAGCCGTTGTATACAGGGCTCGTGATCGCGTGATAGAGCGACTGACCATGCGACAACTTGGCGAAGCGACTCCGGATGTTATGCACCCATTCTTCATGAAGACAGCTGGTTTCAACCTCGAGGATTCTCTTCCGCAATACGTTCATGAATATGCCACGATTCCTCTGGAGGAAATCATGGAGGCCCTGCTAAAGCTATATTCAAAACAACTAAAAACCGATAAAGGGATAGGTCAAGATTAAGACAGGTTATGATGGTGACGATTATACTATACAATAGTAGTCAGGACATAATGTAGATAAACTACTTACCGTACTTTAAGCTTTTAAGACCAGCCTCTCTTACTTCATTGTACATATAATGGGCATCCGAGTTTTCCCAAGAATATCATGATTATGGCAGGGAAAAAAAATGTGATGCAAGTGTCTATCTAGCTGTACTTCCTGCACCAACATTAAATACACTCAGTAAGCCAAAGCACCCGTAGAGAAGTGCGACTGGATATGCAACGAGAAGACGTTGGTCCGACATCCTCAACACAGCTACAAATATTCCGGAAGCAGCGAAAGTGCACCATATGATGGACAACAAGGACAAGACATAGCCAAGGATGCCGCTACAACGAAAATAGGTACTCATGAGACAACTGAGTATTGGAAGCAAAGCAATGAATCACGCACTCTAATGTAACCACCACGCTGATTGCACCCACACCTACCATTGGCAATAAGCAATAGCCTAGTACAGATACTACGCGATATGCATCGATGCCATTTTCCGACATGAGATTTAGTAAGGTGTAAATTGAGATGGAGCCCAGCAATCCGAAGCCATATATGTATCCGAACTGAGGCTTCCCTGACTATCAATGCCACATGAGACGCGTTATTACTGTGGCAAAGAATAAACACTCACCAGCAGTAAAAGGACTCCAAAACAGAAAAAGAACAAGAGCGGGCCGGCGAGGTCTGCATCATCCATTATCCGCTCATCAACACGGCGTAGGGGATTGAGAACTGTCATAGACTTGGCACGTATGTGAGAGAAGTTAATCCCCAATTCTGTCGCGTGCATGGTTCTGTCACCCGGAAACATGTCTTCATAGAATTACTTACCCTCCAGCAACGGTGGTTCTCCTTCAAAACCACCGGTCCCGAAAGCGGTCCACCACCCTCCCGGTTGTTGCTGAATATTCCCTCCAAATGCTGGAGTGGCGCCTCCTTGCCCTATTGGCACCTGTGCACCCATATTTCCCTCCAGACTGGAACGAGACCCTGGATAGAACTGCCCCTGGTCTGGTCCAGGCGCGTAGAATTGAAGGGGTACGCCTTGTTGAGGAGTCTGACCATAGTATTGGCTATGCGACGACGACGCGCCGTACTGACTTGCAGTGTCCTGCCACATAAAGATTTAAGTCGTAAAGAAAAATGGAAGATAAAAAAGACTGGATGGAAGTGACGTGCCACGTTTCTGCACTTGTCTGGCAACTCGTGTTCTCTTTCGCCTGCGGCCAACTTCGAAGCGCTCCGACGGCAATTGCCGGCGTGTCCCCAAGTTCCTTTCGTCTATCACAGTCATGGTAAGTATCCCCACCAGAATTTCTCATTCCTCTGCTAACATCCTCCCGTTCTGCTAACAGCCGCAGGTAATTCATATTTTGTGAACAAAATTTGGCTCTCATATGCCAATGTCCAATTTTAGAACGAGTATATCGAGGAACATATAAAACGACATGGTAGACGATTAGATTACTACGAACGCAAGTGCGTGATTAGTTTCTACCTTACCTGTCTGTGCTAACACTCTCGAGTTAAGACGTAAAAAGGAGGCTCGTGCTGCTCATAAATCATCAGCAGTAGCCCAGAAAGCCTTCGGTCTCAAGGCTAAGATCCTGCATGCGAAACGTCACGCAGAAAAAGTTCAACTCAAAAAGACCCTCAAAGCTCACGATGAGCGCAATGTCAAGCAGGCCGACACATCTGCCGTTCCAGATGGTGCATTACCTACATATTTGCTCGACCGTGAAGGCCAGAAGGATGCAAAAGCTCTATCATCTGCAATCAAACAAAAGAGAAAGGACAAGGCGGCTAAATTCGCGGTTCCATTACCTAAAGTTCGAGGGATCGCTGAGGATGAAATGTTCAAGGTGATGAAGACAGGGAAGAGCAAAAGCAAATCATGGAAGCGGATGGTTACAAAAGCGACGTTCGTTGGGGAAGGATTTACTAGAAAACCTGTCAAGATGGAAAGATTTGTTCGGCCAATGGCACTTCGATATAAGAAGGCCAACGTTACCCATCGTAAGTCTCGTTGTCTTGTCGTATACGAAACCGAGAGCTCATCGTCTTGCAGCGGACTTGAAGGCCACCTTTCAGCTTCAAATTCTTGGGGTCAAGAAGAATCCACAGTCACCGATGTATACTCAACTCGGAGTTTTGACAAAAGGCACTGTCATCGAGGTCAACGTTTCAGAACTTGGAATGGTTACGACAGGCGGCAAGGTAGTATTCGGGAAGTATGCTCAGATTACCAATAATCCTGAGAACGATGGTTGCATAAATGCTGTTCTTCGTAAGTTATTCCACTTGATTGCGAGTCCGCTGCCCTAATTCGAATCTTATAGTTGTATGACCGTGGACAATTGCAATATGTTGTATTCGAATCTATCGAGAGGCCTCCTCAACGTTTCAAAAGTAGCGTTCAATTCACTATTACATGTACTGCAAGAGGTGCATACGTTTGTTCAGGCCTCAGGTCACCCTCTATACGCGTTAACACGTAACGCCACGAGAAACAATGTACTTAGATGGTGTCTTGTCATTATGATGATGTTGTTTTGGCGGTACCAGTCGGTCTCAGCGTCTCCGATCATTGGTAGTTCAAATAGCGTTAAGTTAGTCGTCGGGGAGGGCCTTTAATTGTTGTGGTCTGTTTACCAAAGCTCTTGTGTAGTCGTCCATGTCAACCTCAAACACGGCTTCACATTCTGCCTCGCCAGCTCCTGATCAGGCTAAGAGGCGTCATGTACTCACCGCTGTCGAACGCCAGCGCTCACAACTTGAACGACTCCTCAAGGATCCCTCGAAGCCTGCCTATGTACCTCCTGCACCGAAGGAGAAGACTATTCGCCCGGCTCGCGAGATGATGAAGAATGTCCAGGGATCAAGCGCTGGTGCTGGGAGTGGCGAGTTTCACGTATACAAGGCCAGTAGACGCAGAGAATACGAACGACTGAAGATGATGGAAGATGAAGCAAGATTAGTACGTGGTTCAGCTCCATGAAAATAACATATTCTGAAGGTTTGGCAGGAAACTGAAACAGCAGAGTTTGAGAAAAAGCGGAAAGAAGCCGAGGATATAGCTGAAACCAAGACAGCCAAAAACCGAGCCAAGCGTCAAAAGAAGAAGGAAAGAGCAAAAGTCAAGCCATCAGAGAAAGGCGACGGGAAGGATGGCACACAAGAAGCTCCATTGAAGAAGAGACGATTGGTGAATGGAAAAGAGCTCGTGTTTAGGAAACCTGGGGAGGAGAGCGACGAGGAAGAGGTGGATGACGCTGAGGGACACGATAAACTCGGTTTACCGAATGACTTGGAGACAGAGCAGGTTCCAACCGAGGAAGCACCCCGAATTGCACAGGAGCAACGAATAATTTTTCACGAGGACGACTAGGCTTGCTTTCCACTCACCTGCATGTCTTCCTGCTCAAACCTGATCTCCAGAGCAAAGAACGCACGCAAATTTCAATCAATTGATGTTCTACCGTTCTTTTGGCAGAAACCGTTACTAGGGGTCGGTCGTATGCTCTTAACTGATTAATTGCTGTTCTTATTTTGAATCTGCTCCGCATGGTAATTCGCAAGGTTGTTCTACGTCGACAGACTGCCAGCATTGGGATTTCAGGTCGCTTCGCCAATAATCAGCATATAAAGCAAAGCGTCTTCCTACTGTCCCCTTTGATCCTCTTTGATATCCTCACACACAATGCGTTTCTCCTTTGTCCTCGCTGCCGTTGCTGCGTTGACAGTACCAATATCCGCTATGCCTTCTGTCACTGACAGATCAATATCTACCAGTGAAGGCACTGAGAATTGCCCTGTCTTTTGCCTAAAAGATATCGACTGCTTTGGCTGCACCACGACCAACTGCGTGAGTAGTTCGCGTCCTGGATTTCACCACCTGACTCACCGGCGTGATAGTATGTCTTTTTTTGCACCGGTTAGTGTGTACGTAGTGAGTACATGGTCGATGGCGAGACGCGGAAGCCTCGATCGGGTGCTCGACCATTGGGGGTAGGATATAAGGACTTTGGTGGCTGCGGAGGCGATGTTTGTGTGATCAGGCAGCGAGATGTTATCTGTTGTCTTTGGAGAGGAGCTGGAGGTCGAGAAGTCCTGTGGTATCAGAGCCGTTGCAAGCTTATGCAACTAGCTATCAACGAACCAGCATCTATCATTCATCCTCTAGTCCAATTTGAATATCCTTATCCTTCTGGGGCTAGTTACCGACTCAACCTTTCAATTAACGATTTGGGCCCAAGCCGCAGTTTATCCTTTCCATAGCCCTCGCTGTGGCAGATATCAACTGTTCGGGGAATTTCAGGTGGTTATAAAGCAAGCTCTGGCGTCTTCCCAATATCCCCTTCAGATTCATTTGATCCCCTTTTATACATCCTCAAATAATGCCTATCTCCTTTGCCCTCGCTGTTAACTTGCTGCTGCTTTGATGGCAGTGTCAATATTTGCTATGTCTTCTGTTGCTAATACATCCATATTTGCGTGAGGCCAATATTCAGAAATGTCCTGCTAGTATGCCCTGCTTAAAACAGGACTGCCACGGCTGCGTCGGCCGCGTGAGCAGTTTGTGTCTTGAATTTTATTGCAATGGATTCCACAGACCAAGTGTGCCCATCCAACACTGCGGTCTGTTTCCGTTGAAGTACTCCATGTCCTAATCGAGGAATCGCATGACCCGGATATTTTTCCATCCGGATTCCGGAGTCCAAGCCAGGCACCCTTGACTCAGAGTAGCGTAGTAGAGCTTGCCTGTCTTTGTAATTTTGACTGGGTACATCTAATTCGGATCCACTAATTGCAAACATGGACATTGTCTGGCGAGTAGATGACTGCCCACAGTACTAGTGGCCCCACACGTGTTTGTACTTTGCCTTGATTGGTGTGAGGATCGTCTTTCCGTTCTCCACCTCCCATTGCCTTGCAGTCCCGTCTTTGGATTCACTCAAGACTTGTAGACCCGTAGACCATGACCACTCCAGCAGACAGTCGTCACTCCCTCTGTATGCCCCATCCATTTGGCAATGACTTTTCTTGTATTGATATCCCACAACCTTACTCCACCATCGAGACTCCTGCTGATCAATTTCTTCCCATCTGGAGACAACACTATGGTCCACACTGGATTATCTCCCGGGCCAGCATCAGGAAAACCACCGGTTCCTTTTCTCACTTAATTTGTCACTTAATTACATGAAAAGGACCATTAAGTCATTTGAGTGAAAAAGCGCGTGCCACTTAATTAAGCGCACTCCATCTCTGAATTTTCGCTTATTTCACACTTATTTTACTTAAAAAAGCAAATAAAGCAGCCTGAAATTGGGCATACATGACAACGACGTAAAATTAAGGAGACCGAAAAGTAAAATTAAGGAGACTGAAAGGTAAGAACCGGCTGGGAGTTACAGGAAAAAAAGGGGGCATACGATTGAGCAGTGATGGCGGGGGCAGCAAAAATGATAGAAAATAGCCTATGATTGCGGGAGGACTCAGAGTTCAGCATAGGACAGCGATATTTGTGCGAAGAAAATCCTGTAGTCGTGAATGTCAGTGGGATGAAACCTGAATGATAATCACTTACAAAGCATGGCACGCTCATCGTCCTCGGACTCCTCATCATCAAGCGAGCCATGTGGTGTGTCCATCACGTCGTTTAAGGCAGCACAAGTACGCGCTGTAGAAACAACAATACCGAGAGGAACAAATGAAGCTCCAGACTGTATCTGTAAATGTTGTGAGGTCACGCATTGCCTAGTCTGCTATACTTGACACGACAAGTGTGTTCGACCCTAAAGGGGAAGCGAGTGCAGCAAGGATCTAGAAGTAGACGCTGAAGGCGCTACTGGTTGGCTGATGCGAAGTGCGGGAAAGCGAAGGTACGCGCGCACGTGAGCGGAAACAAGTGAGAGTAAGTGTGAGTTTGCTTAAGTGATGATAGATGAAAAACAAGAGATGTGAGCGCGAGGTGTCAAAGAATAGATTTCAACTATATTCTGCTAGGTAGTAAGTGGGTAAGTGGGAGGTCAAGTGCAAAGTTGGAAAGTTCTCCCGTAATATTATGTACTGCTGGCGCTTATATACGGCGCCTAAGCGCTGTCATGCGGAGCCGAATCGCTACCGAGTAAGGTATGCAAAGATATATGTATGTAAGTAAGGGTCCATGATAAAAATAAAGGTGGATTGATACACAGATAAGAGAAATGGAAACATACGCACTAGAGAACTTGGTGGACAGTGGATGGATGCTTCCGGATGGCTGGCGCTATAGGGCGCTCAAGCGCGGGAAAGCGCGCGCGCGTATACATAGTAAAGCGCGGGAAGTCGTGCGCGCATGCTGTGCCTTGCGCGGGAAAGCTGCGCCTCGTAAGGGAATAGCTGCGGATAGCATACAGAGTGATGCTGCAAGTTTGTGCTGTGTACTCCCTAGTGAAAACTGCCATATCACACGATGAGAGGCATGAGTCTCTACAGCACCATCTCTACCGTGGTCTCTACATACCCAGCAGGCTTGCTTGCGATAGACTTAATGAATGAGGTAGTGACTTTAGTCCAGCGAGCCCCTGAAAATAAGAACGGGGCATTGGTCATCTTCCCAGTAGTTTTGTTGAGGACTTTCGGTAGCTTGATGGCAAGTTTACCTCGCGACCCAGATGCCAAGACTTGCTTGACTTCCAAATCCTTATCCGCGAACAATTTGAAGGCATGCTCGATCTAAAAAAATAAGTGCAAATCAAACAGTCTAAAAAATGAAACTTACTGCTGCAGCAGAAAGGGCAATAACACCCAACATCCCACGTGTCGCGAGCGCATGTGTATCGAGTCTGGGAACCTCCACATACCCATTGATGGCATTGAGATGCGCTGTGCCTAACAACTGCAAAACAAAGGGAGAACGATATGTTGTGAGGGGACTTGGCGTTTCAGGGTCCTCAAACAAGAATGCATAACCTGCAATCAACGATTTGGCAAGTTGAACCAGATCGCAATCGGAGTTTCGTGTCAAGAAGTCCAGGATAATGGCTATGCCTGTTGAGCCAAAATTGCTGCGCTGTAGGACACGAGCTGGTGCTGGGCTCGTATTGAGCTATTTCACAGTACACGTCAAATACCCGTCACATGCTAATCACTTCCCGATGTTATCCGACGCTAACCCGCCAACCCGACGTTTAGGCCGCATCGGCCGATGAAAATTCCCGCGCACTCGTCCTTCCCGTGTCTTGTCCTGTCTTGCTAGCCCCACTAGGTGCGTAGTTCATTATTTCACACATTACTCACGTCGTAGCAAGCGCTATTACATGTTTTCCCATAGTCCGCAGCACCTCATGTTTATTTACATGTACTTCGGATCCGAAATCATCCGCCGCTACCTTCGCCTATGGGTTCCGCATTTCTACGTACTTACATATATATTGGACTGACCTCGAGCATTATTCATCATCCAAGTAGAGGGGAGCAGTTCCCCGACGCTTAGTGGTCAAACCCGATATTTCGTAGTTCTTAGTTGACATTGCGAATATCATCGTTCCTTCACCGCCCGTATCAGTCATTGAAATTATTGCGCACACCGCTCGCTCTTCCGACGCTCGCTATAGCGTTACTATTAGTTTCTGACACCCCGAACCCGAACCCGATAACCTGAAAACATCGGACCCGACGCTTTTGCATCGGACATCGTAATTATACCTTCGGATATTGTTTCCCGCGCTCGGACTATTGACCCCACATCACTCACTTACCCCCAAGACTATTCCCAGACCGCAGACCCCTGGGTCGAATGCACTTGTCAGGCAAGTATAGCAGACTAGGCAGTGCAAAGACCACAACAATTTAGATACAGTCAGGAGCATCATTTGTTCCTCTCGGTATTGTTGTTTCTACAGCGCCATTCGGATATACGCTGCGCAGTCTGATTACAACTATAGTTAGTCAAGCTCAACAGAAAATAATGGACTTACCAGGGAATGTATCACACCACCATGAACGATGGTAATGTTGAGGTCCTTGTATACCGCGTTAAAAATTAGCTGGGCATGGAGGAGAAGGACTTCGTCTGGGATATTCCAGATATCATCGTAACTCCCAGCCCACAACATGACAGTGGGGAGATATTTCTTTGTCCAGCGTTGGTCCACCTGCATCGTGGCAGGTAAGTCAACATTGCAATAGGAGCTACGAGGTTTTATGTGGTCTGGCGTAGTATCCACGTTCAGCTGGTGTTTGATGGCAGGAGCACCATGGGCACGTGCGGCAGATGGCTTGACTTTGACCTTTTTCTGAGCAGGCAGCTTGCTGTCAGTGACAGAAGCCGCAACAGATACAGATGTCTGTACGAGTGTCAGAATGAACACTAGTAAGTTCAGTGTCCTTACCGAAGATGTTGTACGCTGAACCTTCTTCTTCACTACCACAGGTTCGGGCTCAGAAGCGTCCTCAGAATTTTTGATCGCATCTTCAAGATCCGCGCCTTCGATGTCCATGGACCAGTCGGACACCATAGACTCCTCGTTGTCATCTATGAACTCATCCACACAAGCTTTCCGCTTGAGAGGGTTTTCCACCTGTGTAAATGGAGCCTTAGGCTCAAGTGAGTACTGTTCGTGTTCTGCGGGCGAAGTCGCAAGATCATCATCCGACTCATGCGCTACTGGAGCTATAGGCTCGTTGAAGTCCGAGTTGTCATCAAATATGGAGGCAACCTGTGAAGTAAATTAGCAGATACTGACACTAATAAACAATAATGGCCGATTACCTTGGATTTACCTTTGCCTTGTGCGATAGTAGTCTCACGCTCCAATGTATCATCAATATCATCTTCAAAGCTTCCGATGACGACTTCTGCATTTGGAATTTGAGCGTTCGCCACAGGCTTCCGAATCGGGATCTGTAGTTCAGAAGTCGCCGTAGTGGAGGCAGTGCTTTGTGAGAAAATTGTTGCTGGAGGCGCTAGAGTGGCACTGGTGCCAGTGGGTGTCTGTGACCTTGGCTCTGATTTTCCGGGCGTGATACTTGAAGCCCATTTGGCTATACGCCCACCTAAAGTGATTTTCTGGGTGCTCGCATTGATACTGGAAGTAAGATTAAGGAAATACAATGTTGATTCAGTAAGGAGCAACATCATGATGGATGGTGAGAGAAGGAAGCCTTACAGTGTTGGTGTATCTTTCCCATCAGATACATGTGTCATGGCGTTATCACCTTCCACTTTCGATGATGCTTCGCTGATCTTGTTTTGCATGTTGCTGATAGCGTCCCTTATCAACGGCTTTCCACCTTTCTTCATTACCCTCTTCTTCTTTGCTCCTACAGTTTCATCCTCCATGTTCTTGACAGCCTCCTGGTGGCTGTCTGCCTCATCAGCGTCCATTAGGCTGTCAGTATGATTATCACCATTCCCTACTACAGGCTTTGTCGCCTTACGAGCCCTTGGCTTAGGCCGAACAGGAGCCGCTTTTTTTGTGAGTAATTCCTCCTGCGCCTGTCCCATCTCATTTTGCATACCAGCCAGGCGCTCCAGTCCCTTTTGGGTCTGTGCTTCCTTTGCTTCCTTTGCTTCCTTGAGGGCAAGGTCATCAGCGTTCTTTTGCACCTTGGTATGCCTCTTGACCTGTGCATCGAGGACTACCTGGCCAGGACGGGTGGTTGCATTTGACGGACGGGTGCGACAGGGAGCATTTGCGGTAGACATGACTGAGGAAATGAGGTTGCGACTTGGGAAGGATAAAACTTTGCTGGAGTGAGAAAATAGCAAGGTGGGTTTGAAAAACTCATAAGCCCCCCCCTCCCCAAACAAGCATCGACACACTAATCGGACCTTGTCACTTAGCATATCGAACTTAGGATTACACTTTGGTCACCATCCTTTTTCTATGGCTAAGATGCCTATGGGTCCTCGCAGGGACCACAGCGCCCTCCAGATTCCATGTGGTTACCTGCGCTGTGAACGCTACTTCAAGACTCAGGCAGGGCGTAAAAAGCACTGGAATACTTCGCACCCAATATTCAAACCAGCTTCTCCCACCAGGGTCTTGCATACTGCCATAGTTGAAGACGAGCCTGAAGAACTGCACAACGATTTCCTCGCAGGTCATGATGACTTCCATGCAGGTCATGACGATTTCCCCACAGATTTATCTGACGCGAGTCAGGCTCTGGATGATCCTGACAATCTGGACGCAAAGTTTTGGGGGCCAAATGATAGATTATACCACAACTATCACCCAAAACTAAATGGTAAATTTCTCAAAGCTATTTTGACTGCTTGCAACTAACGCGAGTATTTATACAAGCTCGTCCTTGTGACGCGACAGGTCAATTACTTGAAGATGGAGCACCCCCAACACCACCTCCAAGCAGATTGCCTGATGACTGGACTCCATACCGGGATCGTGTTGAGTTCGAGACTGCAGAATTCCTGTACACTCGCAACCAAATGTCCGCCGGGGACATCAACGTCTTACTGGATCTTTGGGCTGCAACCCTTCTGAAACACCACGACAAGTGGACGACGAGCTCACCTTTAAAGAACACGCCACATATGCCCTAGCAAAAGGCACCCGCTACACGATGGCATGTCAGAGGATGACACGAGCAGCAAAGGGAGTCCACGGCCGATTACTAAAGAAACTATACAAAGGTGTAGTGATCCCGAAAATGCTCTATGCCGCTGACGTCTGGTGCTCAGGACTGATATCGAAAGGAAGGGGAAAGAAGAATGCAGGACGTGGAGCGAGAGGCTTTGCCTCGAAAATGGAGAGAGTCCAGAGAATGGTGACAATAATGATAACGGGAGGAATGAGAACCTCCGCCACCGATCTCCTTGATGCACACGCTAACATCCTTCCATTCCAGCAGCTACTGCGCAAAGTCTGCCACAGAGCCATCCTATGCATGATCACAATGGACAAGACTCACCCTCTCCACAAGGGAATCCGCACAGCGTACAACTCATGTGCCAGAAGAGACTTCAAAGGCTGCAAAAGACACCCGTCACCCCTTCATCGCCTACTCAACAAATTCAAACTTAACCTGCACACCATCAAAACCATCAACCCAACTCGCCACTACCCCAAATGGACCCCCGACGTCATCGCAGAGATAGCAGGCGACATGACCACAGCAGCCTTGAATGACGCCTTCGCGGAGGAAGACTTATGTGTGTATTCAGATGGCTCAGCCATCAACGGAGGAGTAGGAGGAGCAGCAGTGATGATGAGGAATGATGAGATAGTGGGGGAAAGAAGGTTCTATCTAGGAAGCGACCAAGAGCATATGGTCTATGAGGGAGAGCTGGTGGGAATGATACTGGCGGTAGAGATGTTGAGAGAGGAAGGAGGAAAAGGATCCATGGCCCTGGGCATTGACAACCAGGCAGCCATCTTCGCCACCAGAGTGTTCGCCTCCAAACCGGGGCACTACCTCATGGATAAGTTCCATGATGACCTGCGCAGGCTGATACCAGCGCACAATGACCGTAAACTGAAGGTATGGTGGACACCCGGCCATCAAGGAATCCCAGGCAACGAAGCAGCAGATGAGCAGGCCAAAAAGGCAGCAGGAGGAGAGAGCAGCGCACCCAGAGAACTCCCAAGATCCCTTCTCGCCACAAGAAGCAACATCAAAGCCACCCTGCCAATCAGTAAATCAGCTCTAAAGCAGCAGTTCAGAGGAGAAATCAAGGCTGAAGCGGCAACAATCATGAAGAACTCACCGTGCTACAAACGACTCCACGAAATTGATGTGTCAGCCCCATCGAAACACTTCTCCAAGCTAGTAGAAAAACTTCCACGATGGCACTCATCACTGCTCTTCCAGCTCCGCACAGAACATGCGCCTCTGAATAAACACTTACACCGCATTGCGAAGGTCCCCAGTCCCACCTGCCAGCAATGTCACCGCCGTGAAGAAACAGTCCATCACTTTCTAATCGCCTGCCCGAAATATGCCAGACAACGTCTCACACTTCAGAATGAGATCGGTCCGCAAGCCAACCACCTCAAGAACCTGCTAAACAACTTGAAATGCACCAAGCCCCTCCTCCGCTTCATAGCGAGCACACACAGATTAGAGCAGATCTTTGGGGACGTCACACCCCCCGCGGATGAAGAAGAGGAAGAATGACATGAACACCAAACTCCCAAACCCTATTGCCTTTAGCTGGCCTTACCCATCCTCGCGTCACACCTGGACCAATGAACACACACCAAAATGATCTTTCTGCACCAAACATAAATTAGCAGTAAATACCTGTATGTTTTGTCTACCATAGGGCAGCGCCCCAACAGACAATAAACACTGATCCAAAAAAAAAAAAAAAACACCATGACAAGCCACCATTTGTGGACTGTTGTGATTTACATAAGACCATTGACAGTACACCGGTGGGTGATGTCAAATGGCAATCCTTCAAGGTCCAGTATACGGGGGAGAAGCCGGCACACAATGTTCCACCCTGGATGGATCAATCTCACGATGTCTGGTATCGAGACCCCCATGAGGTCATTCGGAACATGTTGGCAAACCCAGAATATGCAACAGAGATGGACTACCAGCCCTACCGTGAGTTCTCAACTGATGACAATACACATCAATGGCAGGACTTCATGTCTGGTGACTGGGCTTGGAACCAAGCTGTATGTTCTCTTTCCTTGATTTATGCAGTGGCTATTCATACTTACAATTTTCGGTAGGATATCATTTCCAAAGATCCGGTGTAGAGACTCATGCCTCTCATGGCATGATATGGCAGTATCCACTAGGGAGTACACAGCACGACTTGCAGCAATCACTCTGTATGCTACCTGCAGCTATTCCTATATGAGGTGCAGCTTTCCCGCACAACGCGCGCCATGCGCGCACCATTCCCGCGCTTTGCGATGTATACACGCGCGCGCTTTCCCGCGCTTGAGCGCCCTATAGCGCCAGCCATCCAGAAGCATCCATCCACTGTCCACCAAGCTCTCTAGTGCGTATATTCCCATTTCTCTTATTTACATATCGTTCCACCTCTATTTTTACCATGGACCCTTACTTACATATATCTTTACATACCTTACTCGGTAGCGAGTCGGCTCCGCATGACAGCGCTTAGGCGCCATATAAGCGCCAGCATCACGGACCACGAGGATACTTACTTTACCTCCCACTTACCCACTTACCACCTAGAGAATATAGTTGCAATCTATTCTTTGACACCTCGCGCTCGTATCTCTTGTTATTCATCTAATCACCACTTAAGCAAACTCACACTTACTCTCACTTGTCTCCGCTCACGCGCGCGCGCTTCCCGCGCCTCGCGCGTACCTTCGCTTTCCCGCGCCTCGCGCGTACCTGCGCGCTTTCTCGCGCTTCGCATTGGCCGACCAGTAGCGCCTTCAGCGCCTACTTCTAGAACCTTGCTGCACTCGCTTCCCCTTTAGGGTCGAACACACTTGTCTTCTCAAGAATAGCAGACTAGGCAACGCGCGACCTCACAACATTATAGATACAGTTTGGAGCATTTGTTTGCTCCTCGCAGTATAGTTGTTTCTACACCGGATACAACTGGCTCGACCTTCGTGCTGGTTATGCTCGGAAGCGACAAGATGACAGTTTCAGTGGCAACTAGCGCTAACGATTACTATCCTCTGTACGTATCAATTGGAAATGTTCGTAACAACGTCCGATGTGCGCATCGTGATGCTGTTGCAATCATTGGCTTCCTAGCTATGCCAAAAAGTAATCATCACCCTACCATTATTGTTCTGCACTAACTACAGTTGAGCAGCTACAAAGGAGCACGCCTCCTGCCCCACATATCGGAAATATCGCCGGCAACTCTTTCATTCGTCTATCTCGAAGATTCTTGAGAACCTAAGGCCTGGCATGACCAAACCAGAGGTTGTGCGCTTTGGCGATGGGCACTATCGGCGCGTTATCTATGGGCTTGGACCATATATTGCAGATTACGAAGAACAGGTTCTATTAGCATGTATAGTGCGCTCTTGGTGTCCAAGGTATGTTCCTAGGAGTAATTTTAAACACCTTCTGCCTTACCGCTATTACAGGTGTATGTCACACTGCAAAAATTTGGATGCCAAGTCGTTGCATCATACTCGTGACCATACAGAAGCACTCATCGAAGAAGTATCATCTACCGACCTGTGGGACGAATATGGGATCATCCATGACCTCGTTGTAAGTCACACGTCTTGCAGTACTACGGTTGAAATTTAATCCTTTATAGCTGTTTACAAATGATTTTCCTCGAGCTGATATATACCAACTTATCGCGCCAGACATCCTACATCAGTTGATTAAAGGAACCTTCAAGGATCATTTAGTTGAGTGGGTTAGAAAATATCTGCTTCATGTGCACGGAAAGAAAGGAGCAGAGAAAATTCAAGATGAGATAGATAGAAGGTACGTCTTTTTGTGTTCATTTAGTATTTCAAAGCTTATGCCATTGAAGGATCGCCGTGGTTGCCTCATTCTCAGGTCTTCGATGTTTCCCAGAAGGTCGAGGATTCAAACAGTGGACCGGGGATGATTCAAAAGCGCTTATGAAGGTTCAACATTATTTCTAGGACGTTGCAATCGCCAGACTAACAACAATTCAGGTTTATCTACCTGCCATTGAAGGTCATGTCCCAACGGATGTGGTGCGCACATTTCGTGCATTTCTTGAATTCTGTTATCTTGTCCGGCGTAATATCATTACAGAATCTACACTGGTTCGAATCCAGGACGCCCTCGACCGATTCCATCATTACAGGAAGGTCTTTGAGTCCATAGGCATTGTACCTACATTCTCCCTCCCTCGACAACATTCTTGTTCCCATTACGTCCTCCTTATCCGACTGTTTGGTGCACCCAATGGCCTTTGTTCCTCAATCACTGAGACAAAGCACATCAAAGCCGTCAAGGAACCATGGAGGCGCTCGAGTCGCTACAAAGCCCTCGGCCAAATGCTGGTGACAAACCAGCGTCTCAATAAACTTGCAGCTTTGCGTATTGATTTCAAGAGCCGTGGGATGCTGAATGGCACCTGTCTGTCAGAAATGCTTCGGGCATTAAGTGAGTGTTATAGTGCTATCATCTTTATCATTTGCTTAAAACCTATACTAGAGCGTTTGCGGTTAAATAGTATGCCTGACGCCAATCAGCCTGACCAACCTAATGAGAATAACATCCCACTACTCCCTGACCTCGACATTACTATGCGGGGTGATAATGAAGAGGGTGAAATTATCGATGGCCCAATGGTGGTGCAGGCCCATGTTTAGTTGGCAAAGACACAGTGTAAGCCAGCTCGTATTTGACAGTGAATACCTTATATAATTTTCAACATCGTGCAGAACGCCAACGCGCACAAACTATACCTGACTTATCTGCAGAACTGGCTATCCCCCATCTCTATAACATCCTCCGCCGATTTCTATTCAAACAAGTGAACCCAGATGACCAGCGCTCTCCCTCTGAAGTCCCACTTGCAAGTTGTCCGCGATTCGATGGTAAAATCCAAGTTTTCAACTCTGCTTCTTCGATATTCTATGCGCCCAGCGACCATAGTGGGATTGGCGGCATGCGCCGGGAGCATATTCGTGCCTGTCCTGTATGGAGAAATGAGGCACCCCGGTATGACTGTGTGTTTGTGGACACAGATGCAGGTGTTGAAGGGATGGGAGGCATGGACATAGCTCGTGTAATGTGTTTTTTCTCTTTCATATTTGAGGAAGTTTCATACCCATGCGCTGTAGTGCGTTGGTTTGACAAAGCTGACAACGGACCCGACGAGGACACTGGGATGTGGATCGTAAAACCTTTGTATGATGATGGCCATTCACCGTCGATTGCGATCATCCATGTTGATTCTATTTACCGGGCCGCACACCTCATCCCAATCTACGGAACGCATGCCATCCCACGGGACCTCAAGCACTATGACTCATATGACGCCTTCTGAGCATTCTATGTTAACAAGTTTGCAGATCATCATGCATTTGAGATTGCATCCTAGGTAGGACTATTTGACTCTGACTCGTATAATACTAACTTGACACAGTCAAACAGATAAATGGCCGTCTTGGACGAATCGTTCAGACGGGTGCATGCACCCTCCACTTTGGCACACAGCAGTACTCATTCACCAAACTCATCCCTACACCCTCGTATGCTTGCCAAACTCGTCCCTGCACCCTCCTACGCTTGCCAAACTCGTCCCTACACCCTCGTGCACTCGCCAAACTCATCCCTGCACCTTCCTACGCTCGCCAAACTCGTCTAGGCGCCCTCTTATGCTGTTACGCTTGCCAAACTCGTCTAGGCGGCCTCCATACAAGTCATTGACCTGTGATTGGTGCGGACTTTTGACGCTCACCAAATTTGACCATACGCCCTCCAGTTATTGGAAATATCGCGCACCTGCTATAGTTCACAGCTCTGAATTTATGCGGGCCGTGTCTTATTATTGAGAAGACCTTCAACCAAGATTACACTCGTTGTTCACCGTCAGAAGATCATTGCAAGTCATTTACATAGAACACTAATTTACATAGCAGACTGAGTCATTTCACAACACTTAAAAACACCATCTAACATGAACAGGTAAGTCCCTAACTCATCATATATGAGATATACTCCTTACCTTGCCCGTCTGCAGTAATTCAAGGATTACGCTGCACCATGCATATGCTCGAGCCACACTCGATCCCGGCAACTCAAAAACCCCCTCAATCTCCTCCAGAACCCTACCCTCACCCCTCCAGCTACATCTTGCCCAACCGCTGTAGAAACAACTATACTGAATGGGGCTATACGAAGATGGCTCCAAACTGATATATTTGTGTTGTGGTCTTTGCACTGCCTAGTCTGCTATACTTGCCTGACAAGTGCGTTCGACCCAGGGGTCTGCGGTCTGGGAATAGTCTTGGGGGTAAGTGAGTGATGTGGGGTCAATAGTCCGAGTGCGAGAAACAATGTCCAAAGGTATAATTACGATGTCCGATGCAAAAGCGTCGGGTCCGATGTTTTCGGGGTTTCGGGTTATCGGGTTCGGGTTCGGGGCGTCGGAAACTAATAGTAACGCTATAGCGAGCGTCGGAAGAGCGAGCGGTGTGCGCAATAATAACAATGACTGATATGGGCGGTGAAGGAACGATGATATTCGCAATGTCAACTAAGAACTACGAAATATCGGGTTTGACCACTAAGCGTCGGGGAACTGCTCCCCTCTCCTTGGATAATAAATAATGCTCGAGGTCAGTCCAATATATATGTAAGTACGTAGAAATGCGGAACCCGTAGGCGAAAGTAGCGGCAGAGTATTTCGGATCCGAAGTACATGTAAATAAACATGAGGCGCTGCGGACTATGGGAAAACATGTAATAGCGCTGGCTACGACGTGAGTAATGTGCGAAATAATGAACTACACACCTAGTGGGGCTAGCAAGACGGAACGGGACACGGATAGGACAAGTGCGCGGGAAAACATCGGGTCCGATGCGGCCTAAACGTCGGGTTGGCGGGTTAGCGTCGGATAACATCGGAAAGTGATTAGCATGTGATGGGTATTTGACGTGTACTGTAAAATAGCTCGATACGAGCCCAGCGCCAGCTCGTGTCCTACACCGCCACATCTGATCCGCCACGACAGGCCACTCTTGTCCTTGTCCGTAGATCTGTGGTGCCATTGGTGGCTGACGGCGTCTCGGGAATCCGGCAGTTCGCTATTGATCGCGTCAGCAATCCGTGATATACACAGCACGGAGGCCACTTACAGCGGCCATAGGAGCCATCTTGTTTGTAATCTTTGTGTATAGGTTATAGGTGAGTAGACGATGTTTAAGTCTCAACATCAAGATTGTATTGATATTACTACTGCTCGATAATCGGCGTCTCCCGGCAACTTCTTTTTTTGGACGACAAGTAGTACTAGTACCGCCGGCTCTGTACTACTACCATGCACCACAAACATCGAGGCGCTTGGCCACTGGTTCTGCGAGTGGTGTCTTCGCAGCACCTGTGTGTGCTTCTTGTTTTGACGCCATCCTCTGTTTGGCTTTGACGTTCCCCTCACCCGTCTTCGAATATATGACTCTTAGGCTAATACTACCATGTATTACTTATTGCACTTTTTTTGCTTTTTTTGCGGTTTAGACTTGTGAGCGTGAGCGCGCCCTTAATTCACTTTTGCAAAAGTGAATTAAGTTGGAAAAGCAGTGTATTAAGTAACCTTCACCAAAAATTAAGTAAAATAAGTGAGAAAAGCAGCCGGTGGTTTTCCTGATGCATCCCGCCAATCGTCTCCGATCTGTTTTTCACTCTTTAAATTCTGTACTCGCAGCGAGCCATCATTAGAACAAGTCATAATTTGTTGTCTGCCTGGCAGGTGTAAGGTCTCAAGGACCAAATTGGTGTGTCCCTCAAACTTCTGGCAGGGTGTGATAGCTGATGCCTCTTGCCTTCCAACTGTGGCTGAAGACATCTAGGTGCGACTTCATCTCAGCTTTCATCCAACGAAGTCCAAAGCCATCATTTGCAATGATATGTTCCTCCACATAATACAGTAACTTATACCCATCTGAGATGGACAGCCGAGGGTGACAATGTACCTATAGAGACGGGCCATCCCATGTGGGCCCATGGTAAAAATTGTACCATGATATATGAGTGGGCCGGCCAGATGTGTGTACCCAAGGCAAACAGATGGGCTGGGGGTATGTAGTATAGACAATGGTATAGGAATGTACTAGTATATAGGACATTATGAATGGTGAATCCGGTTTACATTGGAGACGAGTGGGCCGGCCGGATGTGTGTACCCAAGGTAAACAGATGGGCCGACCATATGGGTGGGCCGAGTGAATTTGTGTACCCAAGACATACGAATGGGCTGAGAGCATACAGTATAGATAGGACGAGTGGGCCGGCCGGATGTGTGTAGTACCGGAGACAAATGGGTGGATATTGGTTCCCATTGACCAGTTCAAGTGGACTGGTCCATATGCCCTAATATGCTACCGGCCGGTGCGATTTCAGGGGTGGTTTGGTTGTGTCAATCAGTTCATATTTGATTGAGATACAGTCAATACAAAAGTCTGTGCTAATTGACCGGGCAGGTGGATATTGGTTTGAATTAACTGGTTGAAGTGGACTGGTCCATATGCCCCAATATACTACCGGCCGGTGCAATTTCAGGGGTGGTTTGTTTGTGTCAATCGGTTCATATTTGATTGAGATACAGGCAATACAAGATTCCATGCTAATTGATCGGGCAGGTGGATATCAATTCAAATTGACCGGTTCAAGTGGACCGGTCCATATTCCCTAATATACTACCGGCCGGTGCAATTTCAGGGGTGGTTTGGTTGTGTCAATTGGTTCATATTTGACTGAGATATAGTCAATACAAAAGTCTGTGCTAATTGACCGGGCAGGTGGATATCAGTTCAAATTGACCGGTTCAAGTGGACCGGTCCATATGCCCTATTATACTACCAGCCAGTGCAATTTCAGGGGTGGTTTGTTTGTGTCAATCAGTTCATATTTGATTGAGATACAGTTGATACAAGATTCCATGCTAATTGATCAGGCAGGTGGATATTGGTTCAAATTGACCGGTTCAAGTGGACCAGTCCATATCCTGCATTATATGGGTAAATGGGCCACAATGAAGATGAGTGGGCCGAGGATCACTACCATCCAGTAGAATTTAGACCGGTACATTGATCATCCAATACATTTGCCATCCAGCAGGACATATCATCCAGTACATCTACCAGTCCTGTTTCCCACCAGGCCTCTGGACCATCAAACTACCGGACCTCCGGACCACCAAACTACCGGACCTCCAAACTACCAGACCTCCGGACCTCCAAACTACCAGACCTCTGAAACACCAAACTACCGGTGTAGAAACAACTATACTGCGAGGAGCAAACAAATGCTCCAAACTGTATCTATAATGTTGTGAGGTCGCGCGTTGCCTAGTCTGCTATTCTTGAGAAGACAAGTGTGTTCGACCCTAAAGGGGAAGCGAGTGCAGCAAGGTTCTAGAAGTAGGCGCTGAAGGCGCTACTGGTCGGCCAATGCGAAGCGCGAGAAAGCGCGCAGGTACGCGCGAGGCGCGGGAAAGCGAAGGTACGCGCGAGGCGCGGGAAGCGCGCGCGCGTGAGCGGAGACAAGTGAGAGTAAGTGTGAGTTTGCTTAAGTGGTGATTAGATGAATAACAAGAGATACGAGCGCGAGGTGTCAAAGAATAGATTGCAACTATATTCTCTAGGTGGTAAGTGGGTAAGTGGGAGGTAAAGTAAGTATCCTCGTGGTCCGTGATGCTGGCGCTTATATGGCGCCTAAGCGCTGTCATGCGGAGCCGACTCGCTACCGAGTAAGGTATGTAAAGATATATGTAAGTAAGGGTCCATGGTAAAAATAGAGGTGGAACGATATGTAAATAAGAGAAATGGGAATATACGCACTAGAGAGCTTGGTGGACAGTGGATGGATGCTTCTGGATGGCTGGCGCTATAGGGCGCTCAAGCGCGGGAAAGCGCGCGCGTGTATACATCGCAAAGCGCGGGAATGGTGCGCGCATGGCGCGCGTTGTGCGGGAAAGCTGCACCTCATATAGGAATAGCTGCAGGTAGCATACAGAGTGATTGCTGCAAGTCGTGCTGTGTACTCCCTAGTGGATACTGCCATATCATGCCATGAGAGGCATGAGTCTCTACACCGGATCACCAAATTCCCAGACCTGTGGACCATCAAACTACCAGACTTCCGGACCTCTGCACCTCCAAACTACTGGACTTCTATTGAATAATATATCATCCAGTAGAACCTAATTCAGAGGATATGTTGTATCTTACCTTATATCTAGACAGTCCATGGCAACCGGTATTTTTGCAACCGGTTGCTTGTGGTAATGTAGTACTCAATCAGGCGATTCCGCCAGTGGTCTTATCATGTAAAATGGTGAAGATTTGACAAAGTTAAGAGCCTTACAAGAGAAAGTCCCAAATTTAGAAGAGGATATGCCATATCAGCTTTGCAACCGGTTCCAAACATAAAATAGGTTTGCATGTTTGTATCTCTAGGTATATTTCCTTGTGAATACTGTCCCCAACATCTATTCTCACATAGGAACAATGTCTCAGGAGCTCAGGGTCACAGGATAAGACCTTGTGATGTTGTGCATTCAATAGAAGTCCAGTAGTTTGGAGGTGCAGAGGTCCGGAAGTCTGGTAGTTTGATGGTCCACAGGTCTGGGAATTTGGTGATCCGGTAGTTTGGTGTTTCAGAGGTCTGGTAGTTTGGAGGTCCAGAGGTCTGGTAGTTTGGAGGTCTGGTAGTTTGGTGGTCCGGAGGTCCGGTAGTTTGATGGTCCAGAGGCCTGGTGGGAAACAGGACTGGTAGATGTACTGGATGATATGTCCTGCTGGATGGCAAATGTATTGGATGATCAATGTACCGGTCTAAATTCTACTGGATGGTAGTGATCCTCGGCCCACTCATCTTCATTGTGGCCCATTTACCCATATAATGCAGGATATGGACTGGTCCACTTGAACCGGTCAATTTGAACCAATATCCACCTGCCTGATCAATTAGCATGGAATCTTGTATCAACTGTATCTCAATCAAATATGAACTGATTGACACAAACAAACCACCCCTGAAATTGCACTGGCTGGTAGTATAATAGGGCATATGGACCGGTCCACTTGAACCGGTCAATTTGAACTGATATCCACCTGCCCGGTCAATTAGCACAGACTTTTGTATTGACTATATCTCAGTCAAATATGAACCGATTGACACAACCAAACCACCCCTGAAATTGCACCGGCCGGTAGTATATTGGGGCATATGGACCGGTCCACTTCAACCAGTTAATTCAAACCGATATCCACCTGCCCGGTCAATTAGCACAGACTTTTGTATTGACTGTATCTCAATCAAATATGAACTGATTGTGTCATATCCCGTATTCCGGACCTACATCCGATAATGTTCCCACGCCTCATCCGGACCTTCGGACGCCCTATCCATGTCTCCAGTCCTCTACCCATCCGGATCCCTGCACCTTTGCACATCCACATCCGCGCATCCATGTCCAGATCCCTTTACCTCCGTACATCGGACCTCCATACCTCCGCAGCCAGCCTGCATTATTCATCCTTTGTCCTATTGCCCTAATATCATATCCTGTATATCCACGCTTCTTGTCCGGACATCCGGTCTGATCCGGTCCGGTCCGATCCGATATATGATAAGCTTCCTAATTCATTTCCTGTGCATATAACGTTGACACAGCCTATTCCTCTATTCGGTATTCCTTGTCCTCGGTATCTCGGTTATACTTACTACCGGTACGCTTACTGATCCATTAACCTATGCTTCATTTCCGACTCGCGCTTGATAACTTTGCTTATGCTTCATACATAGCCTCGGACGCTTGCTTACTGATCTTTCCGTTATTTCCTTAGTATATAAACTCTTGTATATGTCCTGTAGTTCCTCAGTCGGAATATCATATTAGTCCTCGCACTAGATCTCACCCTAAGTCCTCACATCAGTTCTAGTCTATCGACTTAGTCAATATCCATCTCGGGCCTAGGGAGAAATTCCCTAGGCCAGAGCTCCGCTTATCCGATCCCCGCTCATCCGCTCATCCGCTCATCCGATCCTCCGAAGTTTCCGGACGTTCGTCCGAAACTTTCCCGCGGTCCTCCGGACCTATTCTGCTTTGGACTTTGTCCTTGCAGCCTTTCCTCTGTTTGCTTCTACTTAGGACTTGTCCTAAGTAGCCATTACACGTATCCGTATCAGGACGAAACCTCATCGTAATTTCCGGAAGTTCCTCCGGAACTTTCCCGCACTCATCCGGAAGTTACTTGCACTCGTCCAGAAAGTCCTTCCGAACTTTCCCACGCTTCGGATGTCCTTCGGACGTCCTTGGACTTTCTTCGGACATCATTCTGAAATTAAGGGCACATACTCGGGTAAGGGGCGCAGCGCACGAGCTGAAGCCAAGCCCCTCGGAATCAGTCCTACCCTTTGTGCACGGTCTTAACAGATTGACACAACCAAACCACCCCTGAAATCGCACCGGCCGGTAGCATATTAGGGCATATGGACCAGTCCACTTGAACTGGTCAATGGGAACCAATATCCACCCATTTGTCTCCGGTACTACACACATCCGGCCGGCCCACTCGTCCTATCTATACTGTATGCTCTCAGCCCATTCGTATGTCTTGGGTACACAAATTCACTCGGCCCACTCATATGGTCGGCCCATCTGTTTACCTTGGGTACACACATCCGGCCGGCCCACTCGTCTCCAATGTAAACCGGATTCACCATTCATAATGTCCTATATACTAGTACATTCCTATACCATTGTCTATACTACATACCCCCAGCCCATCTGTTTGCCTTGGGTACACACATCTGGCCGGCCCACTCGTATATCATGGTACAATTTTTACCATGGGCCCACATGGGATGGCCCGTCTCTATAGGTACATTGTCACCCTCGGCTGTCCATCTCAGACAGGTGAATTCACTGAAGGGGCTTGTTCCTCAGCCGTTTTCAATACAAAGGCTGTTGAGGTCAAGTGTGCACTGCAAGTTTGAGCGGTACAGTTTCAATGTGTCATCTTCACAGCTTCTAGCACAGGCTGTGCAACTGAAGCGCCCAAGCCTCATTTCTGATCATGAGTTGCATTCTGTCAGTCACTATCTTCATTCTACAACAGAGTTACCACACACCCTCCATCTGCTACGACCTTGCCCAACGCACTTTCACTCCTCTATCCTCGTTAAAGACGTCTCAAACTGCCTATCCCCACCTAACTACCTCCCCAAGGTCCAGGGCCCTGGAGACAATCACATTGGATGATGGATTCCATGGACTTGGAGCTGCGGAACGTGGTTTTTAGTTGCATCACGACAAGGGTAGGCCCTGACATGGACATAGAACATCCATCATGTTACTCATTATTGTAACACGCACGCATGGTGGTCCAGTCGTCACTTCCGATATTTGTCCATCTGAAATATAATGTCAACCTCATTAAGGATCGTGTTGTAAACATTTTCGATCCCCATCATATTCAGGGTTCGCCAGGTCTGCATTATAGGCTAGTGGCACTTGGCCCATGTTCCTTTTTATTCGTGTTTGTAAAAAGTACTTTGAGGAAATCATTCGCCCTCCATCCATCCTGAAAATGTTTAAACAACGGCGGCACGAAGACCTTATCAGCAGAGTCAAGGAGCACCACACGACGCAACCCCCCACAAAAAGTGTCACGATCTTCTCATTGGGAATGGTTTCAGAAAAAGGCTGGCTGTTGGCGTCTACCAGACATGTACAAAAGTGCATTGCAATGCTATGCAAGTGCCAGCAATGATGTATAAGGTGGACAAGTCCTACAAAGCTGAGAGACAGCGGGACGAGCCAAACCTCCAAACCAGAAATTCTCGAGTTGTGGCTATGATTACGCCATTGTCTTGAGTGCATCATCATTGATGTTCGAAGCGCAAATCCAATCAAGGTCTAAGTCTGTTAAGCGACTAAGTGATAGCAATGGGGCAATCGCATCAAAGCCAAGTGCGAAGGCTAAGTGTGAAGATAGGATCACGAAGTATGTATTCCCAGACCATGCTGTTGAACGAGAAATTGAAGTGGAAATGGATGTTTTCAAGAGCAGAAGAGAAGTACTTCAAGGAGCTTGTGTCTGTAGCATCCAGTGGATCGTACAGATGATGGTCGTAATCCATACACACCGACACCAATTGACAGGAGAGAAAACGGACATTGTTGAGATATTGACTGAGAACGGAAAGTGTCGGCGTAGTAAAGCATACTTGATCGAATGAGAGGGGGTGCAGTTATGTAGTGGTTCATCAGTGTTGTATGCCAACAGGACGAGATGCAGATACTCCAACGACGGTAAAAAAAAAGCCAAGTGAAGAAGTGCCTGCATATTAAAAAATTATGTTTTTAAGACAGAGGAGCTCCTTCAAGCCACATAGGGCTGTGCATATTGCATCGTCATAAAAACATTCAAGTTCCCGAGTGTATGGTTACCGAGTTTCAAGGGAAGATAACAAAGCAACTTCGGCAAAGAGGGGTGGCTTGAAAGACAACTGTGCATCTGCAACAACGTGATGGTCGACCCAAGGAGGGTGCACAAGAATGGAATAAAGTGCTCTTGGACATCGTGCCAGGACAAATCACATAGGTTCAGCAACAGCGGTGATGGCGCAGAAGTAAGAGCTTGCACGACCCGATCGTCTATGGTGTCTAGCTTAGCTGTGAAGATGCAACGAGGCATGAAAGGAGTGGTTCCAACCCATCCACATCATAAAAAACACAACAACCGTACATCCCATGTGACAGCCAGTAACAGCCAGTACAAGGTGCACAAATTGCTACCATCCCCACAAACACATGACAGACATGTGTCGAGTTTGTCAGTCTCCATATAAGTCCGTGCATGCAGCGAGGTTTTATACATACTATTACCGGCCTTGTTATATTTGTATCACTCGGTAGATCCTTGTTTAGGTGATGAAATTCAATACATGCCACTACAATTGTTGTGACAATTGTGCTTCCTGGCAGTCCCTTGTGCGGGTAATGAACTTATACACATACTCCTACTAGTCTTGTCACCATATTGTGCGATAATTGTAGGCTCTGTTTGATCACGATAATGGCCACATCAAATTGCACTGTAGTAGCTACAGTACACTGGGCTATAGGCAATGAGCACGGAAGTAAAGTAGTAAGTAGAGATACGAATATGCGAAGGGAAAGTACTGAATATGAAAGTGACGATGCAAAGGTAGTCATGTGTATGATGTGAGCCAGCAGAGACAAGGGAAAAAGTGAAAGTGAAAGGCACACAATAACCCATGACAGCGCTAGACAGTATGAGAGCACACGAGAGGGATCAAGAACGTGCGAGAGCATGCAGGGATGGTGCGAGATGGTGCAAAAGGGTGGAGGAAGGTTTCAGAGGATGCGGGGGGATGCCGAAGGCTACCAAAGTTAGAAGACAAAAAGAAAAGATAGAACTTACATGTGTACGAGCTTTGGTTAGCTTAGGGAGTGAACAAAACAAGAAATTACCGTAGAGTTGAGTGCGGGAGATGCTAGCTAGCAGGTAAATGTGGGAATAAACTCACTCGAATGACGCAAAAGGGTGCAAGAGATGCAGTGAGGGACGACAAAATGTAAGAGGTGGCAGCGGCAGGGCGTAAGCTGTCACAGTAGGGCGTGGTAAGCAGCGCAATGCAAGGAAGAGTCTCTGAGTAGTACTACTATTGATATTAAGAGAAAAACATAAAAGGACTTACGAGGGCGACGACAGCTGGTGAGGGAACATTATTAGCTAGAACATAACACTCGCGGCGGGAAAGAGGTAACGGTGTGGCCCACCGTGTGGGTGGCACTTATGTGAGATAAGTCTTAGAGACGGACGGATCTCGAAGTCGGAACTTCAAGCTCAAGCTTCGAGTTCGGGGTCCTATGAGGTAAATGACTTAGCAAAAATTATAACGTACGTGTCAAGTTGCTGTCGGCCGAATTCGTGGTCAAACTGCGGCACATCTTGGATCGGTACATGATGCATGCATATAGATGAGACCAATCACCATGTGTATATAAGACCTATAGCTAGTATATATACATGTGCATGACATATACATGCAATCTTGATGATGCATACTTCTGCACTTCTGTCAATCACTGTACAAGCTTCGCACATTTCGTGTACAAGCTTTACATTTCGCCCATATCTGCTATGGCTTGCATACATGCTACGATCTCATGCATACCTCCACACTTCTGTTAGTTACTTTACAAGCTTCGTACCCTTCCGGTACAAGTTTTACATCTTACACGTGTCTGTTACTACTTGCATATGTGCTACAATCTCGTACAACCATCTACCAGGGTTTGTAAGCCATAAAAGGCAGTAACCAGCCATACACGCGAACTGTTCTTTTGTTGATGCAAGATTCCAAGTCTTGCCAAAGAATGTCGAGCGCAGGCTCCTTGACTGTCTTAAGGGTCCTTGCCAGACATGCAAACGGTGTAGCGCGAGAGCTCCGAGTCAATCCAAAGTCTTCCTGACAGATAGCGAAAATGTGAAATAAAATTCCTGGGGGTAAGACTCTAGAGATGCATGATTGGGAGTCTCGACTACGTAAGCATTTAGGTGTATTTGCCTTTGATTGTTCTGATCAATATTAATCTTATCTACTAAATATTTGATTTGATCGCATCTGCATCAATACTGGTCTGACTACTTTGCTACCACATCATCTTGCAAGCAGTTTGCCTCATTGGCTTCGCTGAGCCTTACCACGAAGAGTCTGGAAGCATACTTAATCTCGATGAGTGAGACATTCGAGGACGACTTTGAGATCATTGACGATATCGACGATCCCGAGATCATCGCGTTGACTGAGTTGGGAACGACACTCATCCAGGCTATTCTGGAGAAGGAACCTATTTCGAACGTGCAAGACTTAATAGACGCAGGAGCACCACTGTGGTATCAAGACGATGATGGTACTTCAGCTCTGCATGCTGCTGCCTACGTCGAAAACGAGCAGCTTGTGAAGTTACTCATCGAGGAAGGCGCCGTCTGGAACGCAGGTGCGACAGATGCCACTCGAGTAATGCCTTCGTGGACTAAGTAGAGGGTGTAGTCGACAACTTGCAGAATACTGCTGGTGATATTGCATTGTCGCTCAACAATGTAGCATGTTACAACCTAATCCGCGACGCAGGCATCCGATCAGGTACTAAGTATCTTGGTCTTCACTTTGGACGAGTGCTCATAGATGTCCCCAGAGTTGCTTTTGACCTTACTTTCCCAGACATCCTTGAATCCTACCCCGTCCGAGTCATCACTCGTGCTTCGGGGCTTGGATAACTCCGCAGTTGCATCCACAGACGCCTTTTTGTCGTCTAAGTTGCGCTACACTCAAGATTCCCATGGCCAGGATATTTGCTCGCTTGTCCTTGACGACGGCCAAGAAGTGGGCGTTATGATGGGATGGGAACGGGAGATCAGTAAGTGCAGCCCTTTGAGTGATGTATGACGTCAAACGAGGTGATTCCCGAAATCATAGTGCAGAAAACTGTGGAGAAATTGTGCATTGATCATGAAAAGAAAGATCAAGGGCTGAAAGTCCTTAATGTCGGGTTTGGTCTCGGTATAGTGAGGACCTCGCTGAGTCAAAAAGCGCATTCTTCTGACAATGACACAGATCGACAATTTGTTCCAAAATCTCAGCACACCGCCTGCATTGCATGTGATCGTAGAGCCTCACCGTGACGTTCTCGCTCATATGAAAGAACAAGGGTGGTACGACAAAAAGGGAGTGAGCATATTGGAGGGCAAGTGGCAAGACTGCATTGCTAGTGAGGCCCTCCAAGGATTTGGAAAATTCGATGTCATCTATACAGACACCTTCTCAGAAAACTATAGCGGTGAGTAATTTCCTATTAAAAAATCGCTAGAAAACGGGATATGAATGCTGATGATTTCTTTTAAGAACTTCATAAATTTTTCAAACATTTGCGAGAACTTCTAGCGAGTCCTGAATCGAGGTTCAGCTTCTTCAATGGCCTAGGCGCAACCAGTGCGTTTGTGCTTTAATGAGTCTATATTTCTACGAACTCAACATATCTACAGACGCGCTATTTTATGATGTGTATACTCGGTTGTCGGAACTACACCTTGCCGATGCTGGAGCAGATGTTGTTTGGAGTGATGTGGATGTGAGCGCTCAGAATGATGAAGAAAGATGGGGTGAAACACGGAAGTACTTCTCTTTACCAATCTATCGTTTACCCATAGCGAAGCCCAGGCAAATCTAAAACATGTCATCAACCATCGTTTTGATAGTGTAGCAAAAGGTAGTCAATGTAAGCTAAATGATAATGCTGTTACCAGCCATTAAAAGATCCACCACAGCCTATGGAACGTTGCCTATCTTTTGCCCTGGCTTGTGGGTTGATGTAATCAGCAAGAATCACCTTTTGTGGAATCCTTGTGATAGTTGTTCGACGTTGCTATGCCAGTGTATTTGTGACAAGGCATTGCCCAGCCCGTTGCAAACATGCCACTATTTACATAGCTCTTCAAAATCTACTCTGACCCTAGAGCTGGATCTGATTCCTTTCTCTCCCTTCTCTCCCCTTTCACACACAAGCAGGCCTTGTAACAGGATTGACAGGCTCAGTCTTGCTATTCATCTTCCGTCTCATTGATCGCAAGCTAGTCTTGATTCAAGTTGTTGCAGGATCTATCGTGTCTACCTGAACGTCGCTCTTACTCATTCGTTCTGACCTCCGTTGAAATGTCATTAAGTCCTCCCAAGTATGATGGCATGATGCGACCTGCTTTGCCCTTTTGGTCCAGCCCCAAGACCAGGAGGAATGAGGTGGTAGTGGTATGTAGTTTATGCCCTGCTCTCAAACATAGTTAACGCGTCTCTTGAAGGAACTATCGCATACTCAGCCTCCTCCCCTACTTCCCATCGAGTTGCAAAATTATGTGAGTCCTCTCATATGTAAGAAACCTTCGTAGGTGCTTATCACTTGCATCTAGGTTTCTCTCCATATGTGGGAGACTCGTGTACGTGCTATCACGCGCATGGCTTCCCAGTTTTCCAAACCAGCGCTGGAAAGATCTTGGATGTCCGTAGCTGTGATGTAAACTCGTCTCCTTTATGGCCCTATTTTTCTCTGATCTCCTACCATAGCTTGACATTTATCGCTCCGATCGTGGCTTACTACGACTACCTTCATCAATTTGCTGATGAACAAATTGACGAGGATCGTCAAATTCAGATCGTCTGGCAGGCTAGACTCGTAGCCTTCGTGGTCGTAGTTGGTCTTTGGATCGTCATGTTTCTGCCAATTACCATATGGAAATACATGGTGACTTTAATTTGGTTTCTTTATCAGTTCGGTGTACTGAAACGAGTTCTGGAAAGGGACGTGTGCGAGTAAACAATATGATTGACCGCTGGGCCAAGGACGATCTCCGATCTGCCTCGTCCTATGCGGCTATTCCCACCTGGAAAGTCGTCATGCCCGGCATATTTAAGGAAGGGATTGTAAGTCTTCTCAACTACATTAAAGTTACTCAACGCCAATTTCATACTCCTGGGTTATTTAGGTCCTGGCGGTCTCCTTCCCCGCACCACCTAGCAACTTTGAACTTGAGAATTTACCTCCGGTAAGCATGCATGTTAATTGTTCATTATATACGTCTGACGATGTGCTAGTATGTCGCGCCTCCCGCTGATCAGGCTGCGCCGTCCTACGAGGCTTCCAAACGGTTCTCAGGTCTCCAGGGGTATGGTAAATTTGGCGAGATTCCGCTTTACAGTGATGCAAAGGAGATAGTAGTGTAGATGGCCGTACCAGATACCGTAGATAGACCTATGTAAACAATAGAATGCAGGTCATTCTCGATGAGTGGGATCGTGGGAAATGTGATATTTCTATTCCTGGAGTTGTCCGGGAGAGCGAGCAATGTACAGCTCGCACAATGACGATCTATAGCTTATACATCTACGATAGGTGAGCAAATTGGCTGGTTGGTCAGTAGATCATGATGCCCAACCGTTGAGCCAGACATTGTGCATGTGTTTACTATCAGGACTGGCACCGAACCAAGCAGCCAAAGCGAGCTGGAGAAGGAGGAGGCATCTTGAATGCTGTCTCCCAAGCTGTCTCTCCGCTTGCAACAGACAGTGCCGCTCCTACCCCATCAGGATTTAGCAGTCCCCGAAATACATTATCTTCGACATCAGGATTGGTTGTCGCTGTGGGCGAGGACCCTGTAACACCTCTACCAAATCCAACTGAGCATGCAAGGTCGAATACTCTTCCCTTTGATGAAGAGGCAAAGCTAGTATATGGTGTCGTCCTGTCGCTCAGGAACATGGTCAAAAAGATTTCGGGAAGGTGTGCATTACCTGCTTATTCCATCTAATCCTCATCTGACAGCATATAAAGAGATGAACAGTTTACCAGCTACCGCACATCGTCATACAGGCTTCACTTGTACGAAACCGTATCTGGCTACAAGTTCATCATGTTGAGCGATGCGGCTACTGACGGTCTTCGCTTCATACTCCGTCAAATCTATAATGGCCCTTTTCTCGAATACGTTGTCCGCAACCCTCTCGTCCCCATGGACTCTCGTTCTCAGGGCATCGACAACGATTATTTCCGTGCTAGTCTCGACCGTCTCGTTCGTGGATTATCAGTTTTCAATTGACTACCCGAAAACTCTACCAATATCTACATACCACACCATAATCAAGATGGTAAACGATAAGCAAAAAAGCACTAACAAATGCAAAGGCAACGGAGCATATTGATAATCATTAAGAGGACGGTGCGGGTATTTGTCCAGGTCCGATGGAAGCACCATCTTGTCTTTCCAATTGCCTCCTTAACTGGCCCATGAGTGACTTCTTAACCTCCTTTTCCTGTTTGCTGGCCCCCTTGTCGCCGTCGCCTTCCTCACTTTCTCCTGCCACCGCTTCGTCGAGAGCCAGTTTAGTTTCCCCAAGTCTGAGCATATCTTCTTCAATCGTCCCGCGACTGATGAGCTTCACAACATCTACATCTCGCTTTTGGCCAATGCGATAAGCGCGGTCTTGTGCCTGCCGATCATTGTGGGGATTAAAGTCCTGGTCGAACCTTTGGGAGGATGAGCAACTCGTCGCGTATACACTGATGATGTAGATCACTTACATGACAACGACACTTGCAGCTGTCAAGTTAATACCCATACCACCCGCCTTCGTTGACAGGAGGAATACAGGTATCGACGCATCTTCGGTGAACTCATCCACAAGCGTTTGCCGCACATCTACGGCAGTGGAGCCAGTCAGAATTAGATATTTAATGTCCTTCAGCTTCAAAATCGCTTGAAGAATGTCTAGTATCTGTGTGAACTATACGGGGCTTATCAGCATGGTACCTCTTAAATTGATTGTTGAAGCAGTAGGAACGAACCTGAGAGAATATTAGAATCTTTCGTTCTGCCTTCCTATAGTCCTCGAGCAATCGCAACAGAACCGATATCTTCCCAGCGTTAAGATAGCAGTTTTGATCCTGGAGAAATTTTCGCGTCGACTGCACAGCGTGAGTACGGTGCATCCGCATCAACAAAGTAGATTAACCCTAACCTTATAGCCCTGGCAGAAAAACTGAAGCTCTGCGTCGGTCATGACTTCCATATCCTCTTTGACATACTCGAAGACTGCGCCTCGCTTCTTGAATTCTGGCTCCTTGAGCAGTTGTTTCGCTATTGAAGTCAACGCCTGATCATCGAACAGCTTGCGGAATAACATAGGATGTGAGGCTGCCTTGCGTAAATCCATGAGCACGTTGGAGCTGTTTTCCAGGTATTTGTCTTTGGCACGATGATTGGCTTTCGCCTTCTTTTTGACAGCTTTGCCATTCGTGACTGGAGTCGTTGTACCTGATGCATCGGGGGTAGGACCTTCTGCGTCCAATATCGTTTTTCGCGAGCGTTGCAAAGCGTCGTGGTATATCGATCGCTGTATATCGGTCATATCGCACCATTCTATCCGCTCGGTCTTTAGCGGAAGGTCCTTTAGAACCTGTAATAAAAAGAAGGTTACGCATCAAGCATGATGATAGCGTCATAAACTTACCTGATCCTTGCGCCGTCGAAGGACAAACGGCGTCATCATCTTCTTAGCTCTTGAAATACGCTCCTGAGAAAGTAATGTAACCTTAGCATCACCCTTCGTTTTGAAGATCGCTCGCAAGATCTCTAGCTTTTCCGAGAGCATACCCGGAAGGATGAAGTTCATCAATGACTAGACAGTTGATGTGAAGTTGAACTGAGCAGGTCGAAAGACTAGGCTCACCACTAACTCTTGAAGGTTGTTCTGCAAAGGAGTGCCCGTTAAAAGGAGTCGCCATTTTGCTTCAAATTTGAGTAATGCCTGATAACGCTGGGACTGGAAATTCTTCAAGACGTGTCCCTCGTCGAAAACGATAGTCTGGTCACATGTAAAAATTCGGATGATATAGAGCGAATATTGACTTACGTCCCACTCCATTTTCCTGAAAAACTTGCGGTCCTTGTCGTCACCTTGTGCAAGGTTGTAAGTGGTGATTAGCACCTCCCACCCCGTACCATTCTTGCTTGATCCCCGCCGTGTGTCTATCAGCATCTGTCGCAAGTTTGCTCGCTCCTCTTTGCCAGCATAGAAAGTTTGCACTGATATCGAAGGTGCGAACCGAGCGAACTCTCGACACCAGTTTTCCAGCGTTGACGATCTGCAAGAAAACGGTATCAAAGCTAGTACACCATTAAGGAACGATTAAGCATACGGCACAATGACAAGATGCGGGCCAAAGTTTCCACGTTCCTTGAGCAGAGCGAAGAAACTGATGACTTGTATGGTCTTTCCGAGACCTGGGTACTCTCGTGAGCGTCCTTGCTGTTCAAACCGAGGGAGCACAAACCCATTTCATCGGCCAGAATACAGCTATGTTTTTTCCGATAGAGCAAAAACAGCCAATTGATCCCAAGAAGCTGATAGTCCTTAAGCGTTATGCCTTCCGCAATCATTGAGGGTTGAGATGAGATGAAGCCCTTGGATGCAGCATCGTTTGATATTTTCAATGCACGTAGACTCAACGAGCCTTCCTCAATTTGGTCCAGGGCTAGTGACGCTTCCTTCCCTTTGCCTTTGCTTAACGAATCTTCCGTAGTCCAAGTCGCAATAGCGGCGCGCAAAGTCGAACCAATTCTCTCGCACTCTTCAAGGATGCCATCAACAGTGTCATAGCCTTGAAGGATCTCCTGGCAGTCTTCGAACATGCGGGGGCTGATTCCAGATGGTCCTGCCTTTTTCTTGCCTTGGTTAAGTTTGGTGTTGAGGTCCGCTATTGAAGAGTAAGGCCGAAGCTCGATGATCTTCTGTGCTTGCTCTGGGGTGCAACCTTTTGTGATCTTAGCAGCTGCACTTGATAGAGATAGCAATAGAAAAGATTTACCAGTTAATTCCTGAATAGCGTCTGCATTGGCCTGGTTGAAATACTCAAACGCTGCCCTCTCCCGAGAAATTTCTCCATTCTGCCGACTTCGTGGAAGCTCCTCCTCGCTTTCACTGGCCTCGGCCTCGTCGTCGGAGAGGATCAACTTCTTTGGTCGCTTGCGGCGTGGGGCCATGATGGCAGGTGTGGATGGGGATGCAGGTGACATAGCTCTGGATATAGGGATGTTGGGAATCGCAGGGGACCGTGTGGTATCTAATGTAGCTCTGTTAGCATAGATGGATGATTTCTTGGCCTTCTCCCGGAGAGCAGCGCGCTGAGTTTTGGTAGCTTCATCGACCTCTTCCACTCTCCCGGTATTCTCGACAGTAGGTGGTTCTGGCGCTGGCATAGACGGTGCTTTCATGGCGATGGCAGAATTAGATGGAGTAGATATGGATTGGGGCTTCCATGACGAATCGGAGAGGAGCAAGGATGCCTTGTTGTCATTCCCATTAGCTTCATTCCAAGCAGCCTTGAGGGTAGCTAGGTCATGACCAGGGTGCGAAAGCTGGAATACAGTGAACACATATGAGTCAGTGTGGTCTGGGCGCTGGCCACGAACGATCCGCTTCGAGGGTCCTTCCAGTGATGACCTGACGTCCAGCATCGATTCATCTGACGAGTGCGACTGCCTTTCTGCATTCACATTCTGTTTTCGCCTTTGCCCTGGATGTTGAATATCTGGAGAGCCAGGGGTTACCATCCCGAGCGGTAGAGAGTCAGAGGGTGTTCCGCGATTTATACGCTTTCTCGGTGGACCTTCATCCCCAAAACTTTCAACTTCCGATAACGGTCTCACATCTCCAGCCCATGGACGCGACTGACGCGTGAATGACGCGTGAGCAGAAGCACCACCGTGGACAAACCCACTTGATGAGGACAGGACGTCGGGCACGGCTGAGGGACCGGACTGACCCCACAGATTGGGATGATTAGGGCCAGTCGTTGAGGAACTACCTTGAGCGTACTGGAGATGATGTGGTCGGTAAGGCTGATGATAACTTGCATCTTGAGGTAGAGGGCTAGAATTGGGGACGAGGACTATGCCTCGTGACGGAGTCGCTGGAGGATGGTATCGCGCTGGTGCCGTAGCATCTCGGGACTGCGGAGGAGGGACAAAGGAAGGATGAGCGACGTTGCTGGTAGCTGCTGAGGAGTTAATAGCTTCAGATCCATCTTTGTTGGGCTTCTTCTGGAACCTTAGTCCGCCAACTGCAGTCGTCTTCTGTAGAAATGACGGGCGCTTTGTGAGAAAACGATACAAAAAGCTGAGCTCTCAACTAACTCTACTGCTTGTGACGTCGTCGACAGACATCGACGACGACGACATACTGAGTTATATAAATTTTTGAGAGAGGATGAGAACCCAAAGGACTTTAAAGTTGTTGCCTACAAGTTGGTGGGAGGCAAATCGGATGTACGCCATTTACCCGTAACGTCGGAGAGTCAATGGATGTGGCACAAGAAAACTATATTTCCACTAGATAATAGACATGAAAAGCCAAAGGCTGTACAAAAGATAGGTGCATGGTATGTAAGGACGCTGAAGCCGTCGCGTGGATGGGGGAGTAAAGACTTGCACGGTCACGGAACACATACTGCGTCGGTAGAAGGTGCATGCACATAAAGCAAAAGTGTCCACCGTCGATCCTGTCAAAAGGACCGGAGTAAGATGTGGTGATACCGTGGGCACGCCGGCTTCTCGACAGACGCAGCGGGGAGGTAAATAGTAACACTCGTCTCTGGTATTCGGAAACTAAAAGTCGACGATGGAAAACAAATTTGAAAGATTTATTATCAGATATGAACTACACATGAAGATGTAAGAGCCTGCACGTAGAGGTGACGACGCACATAGAGAAGAGTTTAGCACATAGTGATGTGTGGCACAAATACTCAGAATCGATCAACGGATCATGGGTAGATCAAGATCGCACAGTTCCATGTCCCGAACACCAAGTGCCAATTAAACTTTGAACTTGATCATATCAAGTTCCTTGCAAAGGAATATCTGCTTCAAACTGTAAGTTTGATTGAAAGAAACAAAGGATCTACTCACTTCAACCGAGGGATGATAATGCGTATCAGTATTGAATGACCAACATCCAAATGATCATTTATCAAGAGATGGGATCTAGCGAGACCCAGCGAGACTCAGTATGCAGATGGAGGAGAATACAGCCCAGCAATCGCACTCATGAAAAGCCCAAACAGTTTGTGATCCCATAAAAAAGCCCACAAGAGAGACAGTCCTGCTATAGGACTCAAAATAGGCCCATTTGGAAGTTACAACAATGGCAGCAAAGCCTGGGAACTTCCGGGGGGAAAATCAGACAACATAGAAAACTGGTTGAACCTAGGAACTCGCTGAAGTGTCTGAAAAATTCGAAAGATCACCAACAAGTTAACATGAGCCACTCAAATACGTTTCAAAGAAGAAGAAAAAACATAAAATTAAGAGGGGCAAGTGAACTGTAGATGCCTTTATTGAAGGTAGAGGGACGGTAAGAGATGGTGGTGGTTCGAGTTCAAGATGGTTATCACCCAAATTACCACTTTGGCTGTGTCAAGGCACTTGCCGAACTCCCAGGACTGCGCACGCCTCAGCACCGGCGCCCAAGTGTTTCTCTCCTTATTTCTTGTTTTATTTCCCTCCTTACTGCACCTATCATGCTTGAATTTTTCGATATGATGACGTTGTTAGGGTCAGTGGCCGTGTCACTGGCCATCTTGGTCCCATTAGCTGGCACATTGGTGCGCTTTAGAGCACACTACAATCCAAAGGGTCTGCAACTTGATGCAGAGGGCGGTGTGCAGCCCCATACTGGCCCAGTCATCTCATCCTTCTTTTCAATGCTGAAAAGGGTACATAGAATCGAGGTAGGCATTCCCGCATATTCAGATAACCGGCGCTCTGACAATCTTGTAGGGTTGGCCAGGGCTATACAAGGGATTAAGTATGAGTTTAACATAATATTATCATGCCACATCTGACGCATGTCGCCTAGTGCCCTCGTTGTTGTCAACTCTCGTCATCACCTTCTTCTTGATGATGTTTTTGAGCGACAGTAATCTTCGCCATGGAACATACAGTGCCCCTGATGCAGGCGTTGTCGGCATACTTGTCTACAGCATTTTCGCCATGCTTGTTTCTCTTCCTCAGGTAATCATCACAAACCGGTTAGTTCATTCTATTCGGCTCGTTTGACACCGACATTTTGAACTAATTTACAATGACCCGGCTTCTTAGTGCAATTACAACGCCACACAAGTTACCGTACTTCAATCCAATTTATTCACTCCGTGTTCTATTGACGCCCACGGAACGTCGGAGACCCTGGATTCTCTATCTCACTCCCGGTCTCCTTGCCGCCCAAGTCACCCACATCGCCTACATTGTTCTTGGTCTGCGATCAATGCGGCAGCTTCTTCTCCCAGAACTCGCGAACCCAGGCATACCTCGCATAGAAGAAATTTCCCCCGTCAAACTCGTCATATTCCTAGTCATCACGCTTCTGAGCACAACCATCCTCACCCCATTGGAAGTTATTTCCATCAGACTTTCTATCCAACGGAACCACGCAGCCCCTGAATTCAACTCCATCTCACAAGAGGAGGAAGGGGATGCCGATGAAGCAACGGAGTACGCTGGTGTGGAAGAGGATGTCATCGGGTATGTAATGTTACCACGTTTTTGTTACCTGCTATAACAATTCATAATTCTAGCCTGAGAACCGAGAGGGAGCCATATGTCAGCTTGATTGATTGTGGGAAGAGGATTATCGAAGAGGAAGGCTGGGGCGCGTTGTATCGTGCATGGTGGTTGACGACATTGGGCAGTCTGGGCGGTGCATTGTCATAAACATGCCGAACTCCTCCCCCCCTTCTCCTCAATGGACCACATCTCCATTCGCGAATGCGCCTTTCAACCCGGAAACACACTATGCATATTGTATTACCGTTGTACTCGGTCACCTCCTGTTAATTTCATTTGTCGGCTGCCCGCATTATATTTGAATCATGTATTCGATGGGTGCGGCATGGTCCGATTGATTTCACGTTGCATACAACACTGTTGACTGACAGCGAACGAGGAAGAGCTATTGATTGGGACGCAACCTAGGAGTGTACAGGTCACTAGATGCACTAAGCTTGAGGCAGATGTAGATGTAAATAAGTGCTACCTGACACTTTTCATGGGTGTCAACATCCATCTCGTGCAGACCTCCAGTTTGCCTGCAACCTATTTGCACACAGAAGCTGGAATGATACTGTTTCACGAATTATGTACTATAGGCCAGAGACTACCTTCGCTAACACGGCGTACAACAAGCTATTACTATAATTGGTATTACCCCAGGGCAGGAACAACGATTGTCCTACCGCCAGCCCCATTATGCTGGCCCATCTCCCTACTTGATTATTCTCCAGGCGAGCCATCCGTATGTGATGAGGCCGCGGTGTCGGACGTAACTACAGACGAAGGCTGCCCCCCTGTCGTCGAACTAGCGTTCCCTTGCCCAGAAGTTGTACCCCTCGACATCATAGTATTCAATAAATATGCCAGCCCGCTCACTTGCGGCGACTGTAGTAGTGACACATTTATCTCTAGACTCAAAATTGTTCCATTGGAAGTAGACCCCCGTAGCACAGCTGGCGGCTGCGGCTGATCTGCGGGCGGGAGAGAAGTAGCAGGAATCGGCACTATTCCGAGAGCGTGTAAGGCGGGCAACGAACTAACGGGAAGCTGTACCGGAATTGCAGTAGAAGCCGATGTTGTAGTGGGAGCGGCCGAGGGAGCTGATGTGGGCGTCGAGTAAAAACTCGAATTTGTAGTCCCTTGAGAGGTATTGGTATATGGTTGAGTGAATGCGTATGGGTACGTGCGATAGTACTGGGTTTGCGAGGCTTGAGGATAATAGGTTGAACGAAAGGAACTGACAGTAACATTGGCTGCGATGCGCTTTTCACGCTGTGACGCGTCTAGTTCGTTCCGTGCGTTGCGTAACTCTGTGCTGACAGATGATGTCTCTGCCCGTTCGTACTCCACCACAGCTTGAGCTAGCACGTATCCTTGATCATCTGGAGAAGGGCGCTAAGTATGACATAGTAAAGAGTCAGGAAATGAAAGTCCGTTAGACAGAAAGAACAAACCATGCCGGACTTTATTTTGGCGCGTCGAAATCGCGACTCAAGTTTCCTCAGTCGACGGTGACATTCCAGGGCAAATTCAGTGTCTATGACAAGCAAAATAAGGAACTCTACCACCATGAAGTAAGCGACAGTGTTTTCCTACCTTCAATTTCATCTCGGATCGTATCGCGGGCCTTCCCCTTTCCTTTCGCACGTCTCCTTTCTGTAACGATCCTCAGATCTTCTTCTGGTTGTTGCAGGACGTGATAGGGAAGAAGCCGATGGACAACGTCTACTGCGTCAACAAAAGGAGAATCCACGTCAGGATTTAGCACTACTGCGTGATCAGCAGCGAGGCACGACGCAAAACTGTCCGGAGCATGAGTAAAGGCCTTTTTATGAATCTCCGAGACATACCCTTCCGCGGTTTCCTTGATCATGCATATGTCCTCGGCCGTTCGATTGTTCAGATAGCTCAGCAGACCAGATGCCCCATTGCTGGTGGATCCGTTTACAATGGGAATGTGTAGAGATGATAGACCTGCGACGAGGTCCTGCGATGAAGAGGAAGAAAAACTTTGAGGTGACGTATCATTTGATGACGAAGTAGCTGCGTTAGACGAGTCCTCGACTGGTTTCAGAGAGGAGCTAGAGCCCGGCGCATTCAACATTTTCTTGACTTTGTTGTGTTTGTGATGCTTTGCCTTGTGACAATCCCCGTGACCGCGCGAACAGCAGAATTTAGGGCAAGCCTCTCCGAAGGGGCGATCCATATTTTTTGTGTAATAAAAACATTAGAGAGTAGGTACACTACTTAATCGTCGATTAGTTCAATGACCAGAAGTCTCCTCCGTAATCGGGATGGCTGGTCGTGTGATGAGGACAGATTTGAGCTTCTTCAGCCAATCAGATGCTTGACCAACTTCCTCAGCATTGCTATTTGCGACACGTTCCAGGTAATCCTTAGCAAGCAATAGGTCCCCTCCTGCAATGACCATGTGATGGCGCGCGACGAATATGCTTGACTTAGCATAGTCTTGGACAGGCCGCTCTACAGGACTAAGTTAACTTGATGGAAGCTTGGCCAAGGAAAAAAAAAACCTTCGATACGACAGATTTCCACAACTCGTCGGTGATATGCCGCGGCCTCCGATTGGTCATCCAGTTCCTCATGTAATTTGGCAAGTTTCATATGGATGGTAGTCTCACGGGGATCGGCACCAAGTAAAGCACGCTTCAGACATTCAACGGCCTCCTTTAGTCTGTAGGTATGGTAGCTCTATCAGCGGCCCTTTTTTCCAAGGAACGGGAACAAAAACGAACCTTCCAATTTCTTCGTAACAAGTACCTTGGGCCTGCCACAGACGGACATCATATGGTCTTGGTGAAATGTCAAATTCTTACAACATAAATAGGGCGGCCTCAAAAACTAACCTGAGGGCAGTGGCATGTTGATAATAATACAACGCATATCGGTGCATGCTTAGCAATTCATAAGCCTGGCCAAGACCATACCACGCCCTGTAATCCTTCCGGCTCACATCTCAAAAACAACATATACTTAGCATTCAACCGGTTCAAGTATCAGTGAATTACATACCAACTGCTCGACGATATGCTTCGATGGCAGCATGTGAGTTTTTCATCTCGACGTACTCATGGCCCATCAACGTCCACGCAGACAAATAGGTTCGGTCCAGTTCGGTGGCCCGTCTGAAGTATTTGACTGCTTTCTCGTGTTCTGCGCGGAGAGAGTAATGATTCCCTGCGTTCCAAAAGTCAACACACACGGATGATTGCGGCTTCATATCATGACTGACCAACCAAGCAGCACACTTCCGGTCGATCTTTGTCGAGTTCAAGAAACTCGTGCGCTAGCCTAGAAAGCTTCAGCCGATTGTCGGTGACATAGAGTATATTGGAGTAGATGTCAATATCATCGATACGGTGCGGAGCAATCGCCAGGATTTTTTCAAATTGTTTTTCTGCCTGTCCAAAGTCTTTTTTTTTATCACAATCACATGAAGCACTGGTTCATAAGCAAAGGACCGACCATGCAAATGGTACAAGGCACATGCCCGTAGACTCATGACCCATGCACTGTCACGGAAACAGTCATCCCCAAGAAGACGATCGCACATGGCCAGCTCATTCTCTGATGGACTGTGAAGCTCGTTCATCGTGCGAATTTGAAACATTAAAATGAGGGGATGAGTTGCAGGAAGGGGCAACAGCGGAAGAAGTGCTGTCAACTAACGGCCATCAACAAAGGTATGCTTTGACATGCTCTCAACCAACCTCGTCACCATCGCCCACACAACTGCACAAGAGGGTCCATACCGACCAGTTCCAGTGGTAGCCACTGATGGACCGTATGATGCTTTCAATGGCTTCCTCTCGACGGTTGAGTCGTGATAAGAAAACAGCTTTCCTATAACAATGAAAACAAATATTCTATAAAGATGGCACGAGGAGCCTGAGGTGAACTTACAGGAAAAGAAGCCAGGGATCTGTAGCGTTCTTGACCATATCTAGAAGAGTTGCAAGTAGTCGGTTTATGGGGACGGGGGGTTGTCCTCGAGTATCTACCAATCATAGGTTTCGAAAGGCAATAGAAGATGCCATGAATATAAACTCACTATTTTGTCTGTACCAGTCTCGCTGCGCTTTTCGTTCTGCAGCCTTCAATGAATATATTAGCTGTTGTTGGAATTCAGGGCTTCGTGACAAACCAAGAAACAGCTATACACATAAATAAATTGTGCTTTGGCACTTTTGCAATTCTTCACGGTGAATTCGACTCTTGTGAACTCTTTTGCTGTCATGAAAGCTCGAGCAGCAAATAAGGCAGCTTCATCCTGTATTTCCAACTCGGTTTCTTGGGCACGGACGACAGGGAAGTGTGACGGAAGATGGGACTGGTTTCCAGGAGTAACAGGCATGCATAGTGCAACACTGGCAGCAGGCGATGTATCTGCAAAGGATAACGATGGTCTAGGAGACCGAGAGCATGCAGGAGTAGATGTTGAAAAGGTGGTAAATGCCTCAGAAATCAAAGTGTCACGTTTGTTTGAAGGGATGGCGTAATATAATTCAGAGGACCTAAGAAATACAAAGATCTGAAGTCAGCCCCATCCAACCATCAGCTTCAAAAAAAAAATCACCATTTGGATGCAACTGATAGCCCTCTTTCTGTGCAGTCCTGGATTGACTGCCGCAATTCGGCAACAAGTCTGGCATCCATCAGAGGTACTGGAGGTGTCATGATGCCGCCGGCCGATGTCAACTCGGTTAGAGGCCTGAAGAGATATCTGAGCCGAACCGACCGTCAGGGAAAAGATAGCGAAGGACTGTGCCAAGTTTGTCTGCGAGCTCCTTACGGAACAGACTCGGATATACGGGAAGAGGTAAGGTTCGAGAAAATCTGAAAGAAAGCCAAGAGCAAACTCAAAATGCAAGCTGGAGATAATCGGAGCGCCGTGTAGAGATGAATTCTGGAATGCGAAGATGAGAACTTTGAAGGATCAGATACCGAAATACGACCTTCCCGCTGCTCCCACTTGTGGCATAGTCGGTGACTAGTAACTTGTTAATGTTAATAGTAGGGCCATGCCGCTCCCACGCTTTTACCGGGTAAGTAATCGTTTGGCCTTCAAGTTGTAGTAAGTTACGTGCCGAGTCAACGCCTCCGATCCTTCAACGTTGTCAACTTCAAGTTGAAGCCGAATAGTTGCTTCAGGCTCAACAATCTACGAGATCTTTCCAACTTGAAAGAACCTGCTCCTCGGCCTGGCGGAAATCTATTCGATCTTACCTCCAGTTCCGAGTCGAAGGTCAACGTTCGAACGTTCGGCGTACCATCCTTAGTAGCATTAGATGTGTACCATGTCCAGCTGCACAACAATCCTCGTGTTCCTCTTCCTGTTCTTCTGTATCAGGTTATTTCTTGCCATATTTTCTTACACACGCATCAGGCTCGCCTCGGCAAACCCCAGGCTTCCACAGACCTGCAGCATTGCTATTTTTCTTGGTTCAGGTAAAGTCGAGCATTTATTTACTGGTCCTCCAGGACAGCTTCACTCTGTTGGTTGTAGGGGGGCACACCAGTGAAGCACTGAAGTTGGCTTCTGCGCTTGATTTTGGTCGTTACTCCCCACGGACTTACATAGTCAGCGAAGGCGATACGTTTAGCGCACAAAAAGCTCTTGCCTTGGAGCACATTAAAGCCGCTGATCATGCTTTCTCCGATGTACGGAATATGTCGAAACATTTCAAAGCCTTCGGATCTGATCCATTCAAAACAGGATCAACCGCAATATGAGCTCTTGTTCATACCCCGTGCGCGTCGCGTGCATCAGTCACTGCTTAGTACACCGCCACATGCAGTCAAATCACTACTGGCTTGCATGCGTCTTGTCTCAGTCCGCCCATTGTTCAAGAAAGGAGCATTCCGGCAACCATTTGTAGACCTTCTGATCCTCAATGGCCCGGGAACGTGTGTCATTTTATGCGCAGCGATTTTTCTGAATAGGGTAAGTTCTAGATTTCTTTTAAAGTATGCTTGCATAATTTTGATTCGTGATTTGGAAAATTTGACCCGAATCAGCTTATCGGACTACCTAGCCCACGGGTTATGTACGTTGAGTCTTTCGCCCGTGTCAAATCTCTGTCACTTTCTGGAAAGCTGCTCTATCATTTTACCGATCGGTGAGATCGTCGTGTTATCTCCAGCGAAAATAACTTATTCGCCTTCTAGCTTCGTAGTCCAGTGGCCTGGTCTGGTGCAACCCGGCGGTCGAGAAATTTACCGCGGGTGCCTTGTATGACATATAATAATTGTTATTTAATCGACGGGGCTCATTGTATTCAACTGTGGAGTCACATGTAGTTGTCATGCAGTCATCATTGACAGGTACTTGCTACTCGGCTCTGAGGCTAGGCCTAATTTATGACGTCTGTTCCATTACGACTTTCTCTGACACCGGTTTTTTACGTTCGATTCTTGGACAACGGTGTAACGAAATCGCCGAAGAAAGTTATTGCTTCCTTACTTGCTTGGCAGCGTTGATACACACGTCATTAATCTGTTGCTCACCACATCGACCTCCAATCGTTTCCAGCGTTTCGGTGAGAAGCATTCGGTACCGCAATAATGAAACGCAAGACAACTAGATTCACAGTGTCCACAAGATGAACAATTAATCTACGCCTAGCTGAGCCACGTTTAAGGCATGAGGACAAGGCCAGTTTTACATAGAACTATTTTCTTGTCCAACGATCTTCCCCGTTACTTCCGCCTCTTCTAGATGGGCTAGCACTTCTGCCACGGCCGCCCTCCCTTCTGCTCGGTTCCCACCCACCCCCTCCACCTTCCGTCTTGGCAGGGTGGAGTCTCCTCTCTAGTCTTTGTCCTGCGCGGAGAGACGAAACTAATTCTTTCGAGGCAAGGCGGAGATGCATGAAATTACAAAAACCCCCACGGTTACATTCACCGTTCTCATTTTGGCGACAACACGCTTCCCGGAAATCCGTTACAGGAGAGAGTTCCGCATACAGCGGGCGTCCTGATAGGCACAAGTTAGGTGGGTATCCCGGCCATGAAGAATCCCGTAACCGACCTGCATACCACCGATCATTTAGATTGTCTACAGCTGCTTGTGCCTCGGTTTCCCACTCGTATCGAGCGTAAACATTCCCAATTAAATGGTCCCCGACATTATCGCAAACCTGATGGAGTTAAAACTACCATGAATGTCGGATTGAGGGTAGTTACTTACATGTAATTCCAACAAATGTCCGAATTTTGCTAATTCACAATACAAATCTTCATACACAGCATCAAACCCTTCTTGTAGCTCAGCCTCGGTGAGTTTACAAACAGGATCATGGGCGGGATTGTGGTATACGTTTGGAAGTAAAATCGTTTGCGAAAATGGCGGCCTTATGTGCTTTCTTGAGCATCTGTCGCCATGTCTGCAAGCACCAATCTAACCATTGGTTGTGATCAGCACGACTGTAAGCGACAGTAAATCACAACGTACCTTGTAGTAGAAAGAGCAGTTTACACGATCTTGCTCTGTTCCGAAGATATTTGCCTGGACGGCATTGAAAAATATAACTCATAATGATAAATTATTGACACTTACCAAGTGAGATGCCATGTTTGATGATACGATACTGCTTGGTTCGTTGGAAGGAACGACAAGTGCAACGCGAACTCGAACAGTGATCGCGGAGTCCCAAAACTTCCTGATGAGTAAGCATCATGATATTCACTATTTTAGGTAATGTACCCGGTAAGTGAGCAAATTAGCTTTTAAGCAAGTAATAGGTAGTACGCTCTCGAGGTAGTAGGAAGAGCAATACTCAGCACAGACGCATTGATGTTGCACAGCTGTTCGGATTTGCGCTCAACCCGTGCAGTACGTAGCCATCCGTTCCAACTCGGTGCAATTCTCATCGTGAGTGCGTGACTGCCGCATCGGTAAATGTTGTTCTCCAGACCTTTCTGGGCGATGTTGCGGCTCAAGACGGTGTAGCCCTTTTCCGCTTCGGCTGTTTGTCTTACCAGATACATCCAAAGATATCACCAAAAATCTGCACCAGACTCGATACCAGGAGCCAGTTGACTTTGCTCAGATGATCTGTGATACATTTTCTAATTCTAGCCCAAGCGTTTCATCCTTTCTGATTGGAACTTGTGCTCTCCAAGTCCAAGGGAATATATAGAGCTTCGAGATAAAAGTAGGCTTCTTGATTCCTTGGCATTTACCTTACTGATGGAAAATTATGTTGAATGGAGCTCCGAGTGTCTCTGGCTATGCTAAGATATTCTGACATCAGAAGATAACGCCCAATTTCAAACCTTGAATCTTGAGAAAGGCGATTGCCATCGTTGTCTCCTCGCACGGCCTCGCAGCCGCGTTTGAGATCATTCCACCCCCAGAAGATGTGCGGGGTCTGTCAACTTCCTTGCGGCTCGTGACCTGATTAATTGGTGTATGGGAGTGACGGTTTGACCACTAAGCATATACAAGACTGTAGTTATTGTTTGAATACAATGTAACCGACGGCTGCCCCTTTAGAAAGGACAAATTACAAGGCGTTCACAACTAGATCGCTTATCAGGAGGCTCTGAGAATTTTGTGTTCGGTTTGAGAAATGTTGTTTTATTGTTGGGGAGGGGGTTTCAGGAGACGAATGTATGGGAGGCATGTGATGGCCTTGATACAGATATTTAATACAATTACAGAGATCATATTGCTCGTCAGTGTATTGTACAATGCCCACTACTCTAGTAGTATTAGTCACAGTATGTCAGGGGCCGTTCACAATTCTACACACACGCAAGAATAGCTGAAGAGAACAAATACTACAATCCAAATGTCCGTGTTACATAGTCAGCCACGTCGTGAAGGGTCCCATGACATAAATGAGTCTTCGCAGATAGATGATGAATCCGATACGGATGACATAATGTCCCACGAGCGAATTCCTTGCAAAGTGTGCGGAGAGACTGTCGAAACAGGCATAGTGCGACCAGATGATGCATCAAAAGTAGACGATGGTGGAATGGATTTATGAGAGAACGGATGTTGTTGAGGATATATTTGATCGACATCGTTGGGTGGTGTAGCAATATTGCCTAGTGTCGTCCTGTTGAATAATGATAAGTTGACGTAAAGTGTAAACATGAGTGAACTCACGTAGCAATAGCATCAAGTTCCATAATTCGCTGGTTAAGGGTACAATTATTACATCCGAGATGATGATAAGCCGACCGGCTTAGGATATCCGCGGCTTTTCGTAAGCGGAGAGAAAGCTCGAGCACTACATTGTAGCTCGATCCTTCAGTCAGACAGTTACAATGACCGTGTGCAAAAGTATCGTAGCAGTGCTTAGACCTGCAGTCGGTAATATTGTTATGTCCCAGGTTGTCTTCATATCCAGCCAAAGGATAAGACATGAACATAGAAGCAAAATCGAATTCTCCGGCGGGCGGTTGCTCTCCCACAATAAGAGCTCGATTTTGTGCGTACTCGTCGGTGGGCGTCATTATAGAGGGAGAGGGTGTGCTCAAGGGAGATGATATGCTACCGAAGTAAGGAGAGTATGATGCAGATGTGTTTGTCAAGTCGGCAGGTGGTTGGGAAAAAGTCAGGGCAGAACGTGCGTGTGTGGGGGATAGAAGCCGAGGGGATGAATGTGACTCATTCATAGGGCCTGATACCGATTGATCTGTGCGAGACGGAGAGGTGGTTTGTGGCTCGGTTTGTTGTTCAGTCTGTTGCTGCTCAGCAGCCGAACGAGACTGAGAACGGGCATGCCACTTCTCGAATTCTACTTCTGGGGTCGAACCTGCTTGAACCCAGCGGGGATGGGGCTTGTTCTTCAACTGTTATGAATATTTGAGCTTAATACTTCTTTCCTGTGGTATGAGCATACAAACCTCGCGTATCACTCCCTCAAGCTCAGCAACTCGTTGACGAAGGCGCGAACCCTCGTCTTGAACGTCGGTTCGCTGGGAAGGATCATCCACTTCGTAGACACAAAGGCCGGTCTATATGAAACTTTCTGTCAGACAATAGTAGTACAGGCTTCATGTAAAGTTCCCTCACCAGGCCTAGTTGTGTGCAGCGGCCACAAGGACGCTTCCGGTCGCACTATTGTACAAATGTATTTCAGGATTGCTCCGGGGAGGATGTACTAAGTTAGGTACATACCATTCTCTTGGATGTGTGGCAATTAAGACATGACTGAGTTGTACGATTGCGTCGACGCTTGCGATGGTCTCCGTCAGAAGTAGAGTTAGACTCTGAGGTGGTCCGCTTTTTGCGGATAGGTTGGGGTTCTGTGGTCATGCTAAAATTTGGGGGGCAGCTCTAGCTCCATGAAAATGATGAGAGATATTTGTAGTAGCTCTTCAGCGCCTTGGCTTGGCGTCCCGAAAACCTTACCCGTTGGCGCAAATCGTAATAGAAACCCGTCACAATGATACAAGGGAGACGCTAAATCTGATAAGGTCAGGGAGAATAAACGGGGTGGCGCCGCGCCAATCTTCCCATCAAGATGGAAAGATCAGAATACAAATGGCCAGAAAAGGACGTGAGAGCCGCATTAAGAATGACTGCGGTTGTGTTGATATCCGAGTATAACGTTAACCACTTGTTACTGTTTTAAGCAGCTAAATCCACTCCGAAGAAGAAGACGGATACAATTCATTCATTAATACCCATCTTATTACGTAACTTCTCCAATTGCAAGCTTGTGCGCTTCAGTGACAAATTCTTTACACACGCCAGCACAGCCGCACCCAACATCCCGTCTGCGCCCCTCCGCTTACTATTATTATATTCTCATCTGGCAGTGGGCTTCGACACAGTGTTAAGGGTCCTCATGTTAGGTCTGGTGTATGTCGACATTAATTGGTTCGGCTGTCGAAAAACCATATCACTCACGACCTCATATGCAGGCCAATAACCACAGGGTACCTCAAAATTGTGTTTATACAGAATCATGGTGAGTCTGGTACTTACGGCGACGACAGACAGCGTATCTGACTGGCGTGAGAATTGTTTTCTAGGTTCAGACAATCTAGCGGGCTCGCGCATCATGCATCATGTATGACACCCTCACAGTGTGTTAGATGTGAAAGGCCGGACACATCAATTAGCAAGTTGCGAATACTGTTGATTCAGAGGCTCATTTTTATCTTGCAGGGTACTACGAACTTGAATGCCTCTCCAGCGGAATGGAGCGCACCCAACCCATTTTCAGGCGACACAGACTGACATAACATATGTCGATAGATCGATCGATCAGGCCTATGACATCCTGTGTTCCTCCGATGTCGCTACCCTGTTTACCTTGTACTGGGTCTGTATAGTCTTCTACAGATGATCGATTGATCCCGCAGACTCGCCGGCGTACTTTGACAATAATCCCCATTGTTACATGCTCGCCTAGGTTTCCAGACTCCTTAGGCATACCTTTTTTTCAATTTTATTGTCCTTTGACGTCGGAGACCTTATGTCGGACATAGCCCTATTCGAGTGCGGGGGTCTTACTCCCGGCTTTCTATCGTATAGGCATACTTTAGTCTACGAGATCATTTGTATCGCTTTGGAGCCAAAATGACTTTAAAAAAAAATGTCAGCTAACAGTTTTTGGATATGATTAAAATTGGACTTAGCAAGGTACTGAGTTTAAAAAAGGAAATTGATGGATCTTCCGCCGGCTCGAGACTGGGTGTTGAGCTCGCGAGGGGTTGTCGCTGCTTGGAACGCAAGAACTCCGAACGAACGTCAAGCGTTTCAAGGCCCACTCGCGCGTGCGTAAGTTGGCAATCATATCACATATCGTGTTTGTTGTTGCGGCTATCAATTCAGAAATGTATGTGTAACACTTTCAGCTCACTAGCCATTTTTATGAACGGTGTTATAACAGACGCATCGCCCGGCACGCCTCTTGACACGAAATTGCGATGAGCGAGCCCTCAACTAGGTTTGAACCGGTAGACTGGAACATGAACGTTGTCATCGTGATCTTTCAAGTCGAAGGCTAGTAAATTTATGGATAGGATGCTTTCACCAGGTTCCGACGCGCCACGCCATACGCTTACCTATTTTCAAATGAAAATATCATGATTACGGTACACAAAACGGGTAATTTCCTCTCTATGTTTCCAGCAAATTGAAAGAATGAATGTCATTTGATTTTCAGTGAAGCCTCGCATCGATGATCCGTAGTGGTGCGAGAAGACCGCGATGAATGTGAAGGCACGCATAGCATCGCGTTTCGTTTATGATCACCGGCACTGTGCATACAAGATCTCCCGCTCTGTTTCACGGTCCAGACTTCATATTGTGCGTACCGCCTTGGCGTGTTGATGCCGTTCACATGGTACCGACATCTGCATGCTCCGCGAGCCTATGGGTGCCTTTTTGCATTTTTCCGTCTGACTATGTACAGTAACTCAAAAATCATGCAATCTGGCACAATGGTGTCACTTGCAGTACGCCCCTGTTTATTGAAGATTTTGCAACCAGTCGGATGTCACGAATTGTGACGCCTCACATGCACAAGTACTCCGAGCAGTGGCGAGAAGGAGGCTCTGTTTTTCCGTCGGACCGAAATGCGACTTCCTGGGTACCTCAACTCAGCACTATTAACTTGATATTTCAACAGACCAGGTATTGCTGAATCCCCGTTGGCTAAATTCGGAATAGATCTTATCACACAGTACTAGCTTGGCATCCACTATCAGATATGGATCACCTCCGTATCAATCGCTATTTTAATCAAACACTGTCACCTGTGGCATTCCCGAAAAAACTAAAACTTACCAGGTCCTGATGGAACTTGAAACTTGGCGGCTTGGCGGCTCGGCAGTCCGACTGTGCGCTCATATCCTCCTCCCCCCAAGATTAAGAAATTTCACTCGTATCCACTCCTCGATGCTGCTAGTAACTATTTTGTAGGTAACTACATGCATTTCGCACGTTCTGCAAAGTTGGCATTCACTGTTACTTGTCAGGAGAATATCAATTACAATAATCCTACTTGCAGTCTTGTGCCACTGCCCTGTTGTTCGGAGTCGTGCACGCGACATTTTTTCGCCAAGTAAATACATCCTTGAAAGTGCGTCATCACGATTGCTTTCAGGTTCAAACAGTAAACAGCAAACATTACTTGCCAACTGATGTCCATGCATACTTATTGTTCGTCGGCACACTGGAGCTTCACAGGCATGTACTAACATGTCCTTATTGTCGAGTGTTTACCTATTCTTTCCAGCTCAGGATACTGTGATCTGATGCGCTGTCGATGCTAGCCATCTGAAGAGATCTTGGTATACATTTAAAAACTCCTTTAATCTTCTTATCTACGTCTTTTTTAAATGCAAGTGTAATCCGGACTCGTAATTTCTGTGCATCAGGGGTAATAGAGTTCTGCGACCCGATACTCTGACAACGTTTTGTCTATTCCGTCTAGCTGACGGGGGGGTATCGAATTATTGTCCATTGGGGTGTGCTACCCTATGTCGGACAATACTAACTAGTCTAGGGGGTCCCTGTGCCCCGCGCCTCAGCTGACGGGTTAATAGACGGCGGAGACGCCAGCCTAGCGCTCTGAAGAGGACAGGAACCCAAAATGCTTGTCGTGTCTAACCCACGCTCGTGCTAACTACATGCTGCTCTCGGACCCCGAACACCCGAGACCCTTGACACCCGCTCTACCTGCTCGCTCCCGCCGGCTAACCCCTCACTGCGTTCGCACTACAACGGGAATCTCACATTTGAAATATGTTCCAGAATTCTGCCCTGCGCTGCAGGTAGTGGTGAACATGAGCGAGAGTCATTGTTTCGATCGGTATAGTGCCGCTAACAAGTACTTTATGTTCCAGCGCGACGGGCTGCAGAACATAATATATGCAAAGTCTGACTTGATGTCTTATTCATGCATCCCCTTGATTTTTTTCTAGGTAAAGTGACCGTGCCAATATCTGCCGTGGCAGGGGTACCATAGTGACAAAACAAAGCTGTCATGACTTCCCCGCCTTGACAGTGGCTACTTTCCTAATGGCTGTACTCACATATAGCCATTTACAACCAATTTCAAACGTACCAACATCATTTTCGAAGTAGGGCCTCAAGTGGGCACAGGTGCATGCAATCGTTATCTTTGACTGGACGAACTAATCCTATATGGGAGGCACGATTAGATCGGCGTGTTCACCGTTATCGCTATCGACATCATAACTTCACTGTCAGTAAAGTGACAGGTAGTTGTAATCTTTAGTGTCGTTGCTGCAACCCCTTCGGCTCCACTTAGCCTCTGAAGTCCCAGCTAGAAGTTTAGTCTGAGCTCATAGCCAGCTAGAACTTTGGTGAACGGGAAAAGATGACCGTTCTTGAGGAGTCTTCGAAATCGATTCAGCTTCTCACTGAAGATTTCTAGATATAGAGGAACGGGCACTAGAACAGAAACGGCAGAGTTCTCGAGATTAATCGTTAACACGCTGGGTTAAAGGGGCCGCGGCCGCGCGGTTGTATGTGTCTGCAGTGGCAAAAGTGAGCCTGGCCGCATGGAAGAAACCGGTAGCACATGTACACTGGCATCTGAGCGGCAAGTTCACGTTCTGGTCGACACTGTTGTACGTAAAAGAAGAATGCATCGCGCTCGCTCCTCATTAGTGTACCTATTTCTCGAATATAGAGATGAAATAAGCTGCTAAGACTGCCAAATACACGTAGAACATATCTCACCGAGTACTGCGTGGTTCATCCTGTTGTTCGTAGTAATCCCGCCAGCGTTCGAACCAAGCGGACGTTCGGTCCCGTTGAAACGTCTTAACGAACTAACAGTGAAGCGAAGCACACATCAGAAGCTGCCAGCAGAGCGCCATCGAGCCTGAACTCCTGCTTAGGATAATGTTGGGCCAGAGGGAGGCTAGTAGAGCGGGGGCGGTTTTGAGCCTCTCGTCAGGGAGTTGTCACTACCCCTATCGCTCGTACGTTTAGGATTACTGAGCCTATGTAAACAGTGGGGTTAAATGGACCGTGGGGCGCTGCAACTAAACCTCTTTAGGGCCAACCAGATGGGCCATCGTTGGGCGAACAGAGGGGCAGAGTTTTGTCGTAAGGTCGGCCTTTATCCAATCACGAGGCTCACATACCATGAGGTACTCTGTTTCGGTAACACCGAGATGAGTCGGTCCGTGCGAGTAGATGACCCATTACATAGTGAGAACCTCCACAGTCATTTCTAGACTCGTGACCAGCAGGTCTGTTCGATTCTAAAAATTCGAGTTCAGTTGGGATCCGAGCATCGCTAAGCGTCGACAAACTCCGTAGACTCGTTGACCCTCGGTAGACCCAAGCCTTATGCTCAGTGTTGGCATTGTGCGTAAGGTTTTAATTTAGGCTCTTAGCGGTGCTCGGATCCCAGGTGTCTAATAGATTAATAGATTACATAAATGAAACAGTTGCTTACAATTGCAAAGTTTCATGATTACCAACAAACTAACGTGCTCTGGCATCGTAGAACAATAGGGTATTCTGGCGCTGGGTGCACCCCTATCAAGGAACTCGGAACTCGGAACGATCTGTTGGTAAGTTCAAGTGGCTGTGTATTAAGGTTCTTATCTCCTTCTTAATCGGGTCTCGACGTTGACTGCGCACGCACAGGTCTTTCGAAAACACTTGGAAGTTTGCTTGACAATAACGATGACTCGTTCTATTGAAATAGTCTAGTGTAGCTCTAGACAAGAAGACCGAGTCTTCCCGAGAT